ACACATTCGAACTTACGGGCATACTATAATACGAAAATGGTGCCAAAGAAACAAGTAAGGAGGCATGCAAGTGACATCTGGGCCACACACACATGCATGCATAAGTATTAAACATGTTATTATTATGGCGAATCCTCTCCGTGTATTTATCATCACCTCAAGGAAATCAGCAGCTCAGGGCACATGGAGAACAAGAGCCATACATACATGCATACATTTTTCGGGTGATATGCATATAAATAAAATCAGGCGTGTCAAATAATTCCAGGATAAATTAATATGTATGCATGTGTGTGTGTGCGTGTGTGTATTAAATTTAAAATTTTTGTTTGAAAGAGTATTCGATATTGCGTATACTACATTTATACTCTACTGCCCAGAAGCTAACGGCAAATCCAGTTCATTGCCAGTGGTCAATATAAATATGTACATATGTATATGTGTGTGCATGTGTATGTTTTTATAATAACAATAAATCCTCTTGGACTTTAGACAATATAAATTGTGGAATTTATAATAATAAAACTGAGATCTAAATACAAATTTTGAATTAATTTGGAAAACCTGGCGGGGCGTGTTGCTAGAAATGATTTATTTTATAGAGATTTAAATTTCATGAAGTTGTCAGATTTTTATAAATACTGTTAGGATATTAGAACAATAAACAAAATATATTTCAAATAAATTTAAATAAATATAAAATATAAATAAATAAAATAATAAAGTACATTGCCTGATGCACTGACTGACCGATTGTCTTCGCATGGCATATTTTGTGAGATATCATAAGGCGATGCCAGGGCCGCACTGGAATTCTGCCGTCCTTTTTCTTTATTATAATTTGACATTGTTATGCCTAGCCATGATGCCAAGATGAATATGTACTCACATCTTAAATTTTTGAGACTTTGGGAGAGATTAGGTTAGATGTTCGATATAAAGCAGGGGTTTCGAAAATTCGTACTAGAGGGGAAAAGGACCAAAAGTAACTAATTATGGCACAATTGGTAGTAGGTGATGAGATAAATTGTGAGTACATATACAGGGTGATATAACAAAACTGCAACAAAGTCAAACGCCATAATTTTTACATTTTTAATTTTATTGAATGAAGGCAAAAAATATCGGAAATAGCATTAAATTTTAGAATAAGTTTAGATTTTTTCGAATTGGTCACCTTTGACACGAATTATGGCCTTCAAACGGCTAATGAAACCGCGACACTCTGCCCGAATGTTGCTCTGCTGTATTTTGGCCCATTCCCGGCGAAGCGCTTGCTTGAGGTGATCGACATTTTGGTATTTTTTAGTGCCAACCTTGCTTTCCAAACTATTCCAGATACAATAGTCCAACGTATTGGTATCCGAAGATTTTGGTGGTCATTGTGCGCTGGAAATGAAACGAGGAATCTCATTTTCTAAACATTCTGGGGTGACTCGTGCTGAGTACGATGGTGCTGAGTCCTGTTGGAATATCCAAGGTCTGCGGCCAAAATATTTGCGTGCCCAAGGCTTTAATACACCCTCCAGAATATTTTCGCATTAATATTCGGCATTTATTCTGATGTCACGGTCGATTAATACGAGCGGAGGGCGACCATCGGCTGTTATGGCGGCCCCCACACCATCACCATGGCTGGCGCTTGAGTTTTGGTGGCCAACCGAAGATGCACATTTTCAGCAGACCTCTTTGATAAGTAAACACGATCACTTTGTTTGTTAACAAACTGCTGGACAACGAATGTTTTCTCATCGGAGACGGAGAAAACCGAAATTCGGCAGTTCACCACTTTCGGCCAAGCGAAGCAACTCTTTGGCTCTTTTGAGTCTATTTTCTTTCTGTTGCGGTGTAAGTTCTTGCACTTTTTGGAATTTCAATGGCTTTACCTCCAGCTCATTTTTTAATATTTGCAGAATGAAATATTGCGATATGTTCAGCTAACGAGCCATTTTTCGGCCACTGTGACGCGAGTTTCGATCAAGTCGCTTCTGCACTTTTCGAACCATTCCTGCTGATGTTGCTGCTTTCTTCCGTCCACTTCCTTGACGTCGGGCTACACTACCAGTATCACCGTAACAAGCGATTGTAGAAGACACAAAAGATTTATTCACATGTAAATGCTGGAGTGCTCTAACGATAGCCACTTGTGGATTTCTAGCCAAATATAAAAAAATCACACTATCAGGCTTGAATTCCATCACGAATAACTTTTTTTTCTGCAAAAGTCTTGCCAAAATGCTTTTGTATACTTGTAAACAACATAACGATCTGTCCCTGGAATAATTTTAACAGCTGTCGGACAAGTGGCTTAGAAATTACAGTAGTCTGAAGTTGATTGCAGTTTTTTCATTTCACCCTGTGCAAATTTGTTCAAATCACATGTAAAGTGAAGTTGTCGATATAGTCCAAACCTGGCACATTGCAATATTTTTATTATATTAATTGAGGCCCGATACGAAATGATCAACATTGGCCCATTCCTTCGGAACCTACTTCATATAGGGTCACAAATTTGAATAATCATAACAGAAGTTAAGATATATTAAAATAATCGAACATATGCAAAACGACTGATACCTTTTAACTTATTTTATTTGGAGTTCTTTTTATATAGAAACCCTACTTGCAATAAATGATAAATATAGTTCCTGATTTTTTTTTATTAAAAACTACTTCGTTGCGCCATCCATGCTTCAACTTTATTGGTATTGCCCAAGTATTTTAAATTAGATGTAAAATATTTCCTCATAAAACACTTTCTGTTAAATCTCTACTCTTAATGTAATTTATGCCATTACATTTAAGTTTTCAAAGAATTTCCAACATTTGCCAAAAAAAAAAAACGGAAAACAAAAATTCCAGAGATGCCGATACAAAGATTATTGTCTAAATAGACAAAGATGAAGAGGAAGAAGAATTATAATCAAATGCATTTTTCTCCGGCTTGTTTTATTTTTTCTTCGTTGACAACTCAAAGCAAAAATATTTCTTTTGTATATTTTTGAATAACATATTTCTATTGTCGCTGTGGTAGTTCTGCTTCTTCTTCTTGATGTTGCTCCGCACAGATTGTATTCAATTGAATTGAAATTTGTTGTTTCTAGTTTCGACGTTGTCCTTTCTCATAAACAATACCATGACAAATGGTGTACTTTTTCAACATTTAGCTAAACAAATCACCAGTTTTGTATTTTGGTTTTGCTGTTATGTTTTTGTACATTTTGCCCTGATACTGGGTTGGTTCGTCCATGGTCCCTCTTTCTCTCCCTCTCTCTCTCTCTTTCTCTCTTATCTTCAAAACAGCACAGTTTGGAATTTAATAACAATGACATAAAACAAAACAATAGAATTTGTATATTTCTTATCTGCGCTGAGAGGATATTGAAGTTCTGCAAATTGGTCCAAAGGACAAATGTCATTATTTCCAAGAGTTTTTTGTAGTTTTGGTAAAAAGAGATAGATATGAAAAATATTTAATTTCATGATGGACAATTGTAGATCGAGTTGTGGAAATATTTTAAAGGGACAATTGAAAATATAAAGAATTGTATCGCTGTCATCCACTCTATATGAGAGTGTTTTCTTGTAGAAACCCAGAAGGGGCCTTCTTCTCATAGAAGACCGGAAGGTCTTCTAATAAAAGAGTGGAAGGTCTTCTAATAGAAGAGTGGAAGGTCTTCTTATAGAAGACTGGAAGGTCTTCTAATAGAAGACTGGAAGGTCTTCTAATCGAAGACTGGAAGGTCTTCTAATCGAAGACTGGAAGGTCTTCTAATCGAAGACTGGATGGCCTTCTAATCGAAGACTGGAAGGTCTTCTAAAAGAAGAGTGGAAGGTCTTCTAATAGAAGAGTGGAAGGTCTTCTTATAGAAGACTGGAAGGTCTTCTTATAGAAGACTGGAGATCTTCTTTAAGAAGACTAGAAGGTCTTCTTATAGAAGACTGGAACGTCTTCTAAAAGAAGAGTGGAAGGTCTTTTTATAGAAGACTGGAACGTCTTCTAAAAGAAGAGTGGAAGGTCTTCTTATAGGAGACTGGAGATCTTCTTATAGAAGACTAGAAGGTCTTCTTATAGAAGACTGGAAGGTCTTCTTATAGAAAAGTGGAAGCTCTTCTTATAGAAGAGTAGAAGCTCTTCTTATAGAAGAGTGGAAGGTCTTCTTATAGAAGAGTAGGAACTCTTCTTATAAAAGAGTGGAAGGTCTTCTTATAGTCTTCTTATAGAAGAGTGGAAGGTCTTCTAATAGATGAGTGGAAGGTCTTCGTATAGAGAAGACCAGAAGGTCTTCGTACAGAGAAGACCAGAAGGTCTTCGTACAGAGAAGACCAGAAGGTCTTCGTATAGAGAAGACCAGAAGGTCTTCGTATAGAGAAGACCAGAAGGTCTTCGTATAGAGAAGACCAGAAGGTCTTCGTATAGAGAAGACCAGAAGGTCTTCGTATAGAGAAGACCAGAAGGTCTTCGTATATAGAAGACCAGAAGGTCTTCCTATAGAGAAGACCAGACGGTCTTCGTATAGAGAAGACCAGAAGGTCTTCGTATAGAGAAGACCAGAAGGTCTTCGTATAGAAGACCACAAGGTTTTCGTATAGAGAAGACCACAAGGTCTTCGTATAGAGAAGACCACAAGGTTTTCGTATAGAGAAGAAAGACCACAAGGTCTTCGTATAGAGAAGACCAGAAGGTCTTCAGCGGATAGAATACCTTCTCGTCTTCTATCAGTAGAAGACCTTCTGGTCTCTTATAGAAGACTAAAAGGCATTCTCCAGTCTGAATGTGGAGACTTTCAAGCCATAACTTTTTCCACCTCATTGTGGAAAGTATTTCAAGTTCGACCCTCCCGAAATTTACGGGTTTTCTTCGTTTTCATTACGGTTTTTCTTCGTTTGTAATATTCGCAATTCATTAATTTATATTGAGTTTTTTATTTAAAAAAATTGCTACAAAATATTCACAAGAAAAATAAATACTAGAAAAACATAAAACAAAGCAACATGAGACTCAAACAAAGTTCCTACTGATGTCGGACAATATTGAGAACCTTGGCCGTGGAGAAGCCAAGAAATGGGAAGGTGTGCAATTTAGGAGGAGGTGTTGCTGGCAACAGATAATATATGAACCAATGTAGAATATGCAGCGTAGTCCTTGGATAAGTTAGAGATCGATAGAAGAAACATTTGAAACGAGTTCCCCAAGATTTATTAAGGCCTTCTTCCAGATGGGCGATTTGTTTTTGTAGCTTTTCGATTTCTTCGTTCAGGGCTTGCTCTTTGCCATCGGCCTTGGACAACAGTTGTTCATTGTAGCTGGAAGGATGTAAAATTAGAAAACTTTACCAAAAATATTTTCAAAACCCTTACTCATTAATACGCCTGAACTCATCCAGCTGTTTTGTGCTGTTATTGATTTCATCTGTCTTTAATTTCAGTTTGGCCTCAAGCATACACAGTTCATAGTCCAGTTTATAGATCTAGTAAAAAAAAGTATATTGAAAATATAACTCAGAGACCTCCCCCACCAATCCATGATTACCTTATTGATAAGCTCATTCTTCTCATTTTCCAGAGATTGAACTTTCCTCTGCTCCATTGAGAAATTTGCCTGGAGCTCTCGCTGTTCAGTCATGACTTTAAACAAATTCGTATTGGCTTGTGATATTAACGAATTTAGATTTTCTATTTCCTGATCCTTGACCTCGATTTGTTGTTGCAATAATTCCTTGTCGGCCCCGAGGCTTATCAGGGAAGTAGTCAAAATTTCACACGACGACTTGGCATTGGTTATGTCCTCGAGAGAACGTTTCAGTTGGCAGCTGAGTTCATCGTTACGTTTTTGCTCCATGCGAAAGAGCGAGTTGAAAACATGCAATTGATTGCGGGCCTTTATTGCCTGTTGGAGAAATAAATATTTTAAAGATCTGGAACTTCTAAGGAATTCCATTACAACTCACACAACGCTTCAATTCCGTAATTTCCTCCTGCAGCCGCTTAACTTCCGCTCTTCGTTTACGCCAGGCATTCAACATAATTATTGAGAAAATTCTCAAACCTGCAGTTTGAGATTCAAGCTGAGAGCTATTACCCGAGAAATGTTGGCCATAACCATATATTTTCTGAACTATGGATGAGGTCTCTTGGTGAGATATATAATAGGGATTATGGTGGTGGTGCATCGCCGCAACACCATTCCCCTTGGCCACCAAGGACTTTCCATGTAACTCATTCTCTTGGTTACGGCACAGGTGTTTCATATCCATTTGAGATATTGATTTCCGTTGACGATATGCCAAAATAATACCGGTCTTTTGACGTTTCAATACAGCGGTGGTGAGAGTTTCTTCCTGAGTAGTTATTGAGCCACGTTCTTTTGAGGACTGGAAGCTCACCGACGAATTTAACGATTTGCACGAAGATGAGGGTGTTAATAACAGAGATCTCGGTATTTGAGATTTATTTACAGATTTCTTGGGCTGTGAACTGTTGCTGGACAATAAAAAAGTGAACGATTTTATTTTTGCAATGAGAAATTTGAAAACACTTAATCGCGAAACAGAACAGGACAAATTTGAAGTATGAATGACATTTTTTTAAACAATTACAAAAAATTGTCTCACAGAAACTTCATCAAAGAAATAAAAAAGTACAATAATGACATTAGAAATTTGGAAAATAAAAATAAAAATATTTTTCTTTTTTTTTTCAAATTTTTATAATAGGGTGTAACGAAAAATTAAAATTACCCTATTACGTTCTGAATTCCTAAAAAAACTGATTTCCGTAATGAGAATTCCACTTTTATCTCTCTTTCACTCTCTCTCTTTCTATCTCTCTCTAGGAACTTTGTTGAGTGCTTGTATTTGTGGTTTTTGCACACAAATCCCACCATATTATGATGGTTTGTTACCCTCCCTGGCCTTTGCACACGATCTTCCCCAGTCACAGTCCACGGCCTCAATTCAGAAAATACATGTTCCCATCAGATATCACTTACTCACTTCTCTTTTCTAATTCGAACATCTTGACTACCACTCGTATTGGTCAAATAGTAGTACTTGAGAGCGCTCCTATATAAAACCAAAGAGCGGAGAGCGTAAACTTCTGGTGGAACTCATATTTTTCGAGTACTCTTAGACGCTCTTAGATCTTCTTTGACCTTCTCCCTTAGACCTTCTTTGACCTTCACGCTGATATTCGTTTAGAAAATAAGTAGTTCTTCTTTCAGAAAATAAGTATATCTTCTTTTAGAAGATCTGTAAATCTTCTTTCCTTTAAGATCAGTTGATCTTCTAGAAAATCCATAGATTTATTTCACACCTCCTTCTTTAGACCTTACACAGAAATATTCTGATCTACCACAAAAATTTTAATTCTATTTTAAGATGTTTGATCTTCAGATAGACGATCAGGTGATCTGTTGACTAAATTTCGTCAATCTTCTCATAGAATATATATAAAAGTCCGCTCACTTAAAGTCTCTGGATCAGCTTATGGAAAATCTGTAAATCTTCTTGGGGGGAAACTTATATCTTAAGATTTTCTATCGAGCGACTGATAGAAAATGTACAAATCATCTACGATATGCATTAGAAGATGTGTTGATTTCGTAATAAAAGAACTCTGTAAATCTTCTCTGTAGGAAGGCATTGCGAGTTTGCGCAGGGAGATCTTCGGTTTTTAGGGGGTAAGCTGAGTTTTTCCATCTGTAGATTTCAAGATCGTTAAGAATTCTTTGAGAGGAAAATGGTTTTCCAAGACGAGACAAACTAAAGACCTTTTTTCACAAGCCCTTCGCAACTTCACATCAATCAATTTCCTATAGAATAATCTTTGGATAATCAATTGGGAAGATCTGTACAACACAAGACCTACTTCTATTTAAGAAGTTTTTCCAATGGAGCATTTTTCCCCTCACTTCACCCAATTTTTCACAATACCTTTGCAACTTCACATCAATTAATTTGCTGTAGGATAATCGTTGGATAAGTTATTGGGAAGATCTGTACAACTTCTATCAGATCAGATCTTCTCCTAACTTTCTCTGCAAGACCGACTTCTATTTAAGTAGTTTTTGCAATGGGGCATTTTTCCCCTCACTTCCCCCATTAATTTCCTTTATTCAACAAAAAACTGGAGCCGTTTCCGCAGGGAGATCTTCGGTTTTTAGGGGGGTAATCTGATTTTTCCATCTGTAGATTTCAAGATCGTTAAGAATTATTTGAGAGTTCTCCTATAGGAAAATGGTTTTTCAAGACGAGACAAACTGAAGACCTTTTTTCACAAGCCCTTCGCAACTTCACATCAATCAATTTCCTATAGAATAATCTTTGGATAATCAATTGGGAAGATATGTACAGCTAGACCTACTTCTTATTTTTAAGAAGTTTTTCCAATGGAGCATTTTTCCCCTCACTTCACCCAATTTTTCACAATACCTTCGCAACTTTACATCAATAAATTTCCTGTAGGATAATCTTTGGATAAGTTATTGGGAAGATCTGTACAACTTCTATTGATCAGATCTTCTCCTAACTTTCTCTGCAAGACCGACTTCTATTTAAGAAGTTTTTGCAATGGGGCATTTTTCCCCTCACTTCCCCCATTAATTTCCTTTATTCAACAAAAAACTGGAGCCGACTCATAGGGCTCCTTGTGTAAGTCGGAACTCAGTGACAGTGAACTTTTTCTTTCAAGGCATGGATTTCAATATTTCCTTTCATTTCCAATGGATACTTTTTTAGGCCACACCAAGGCTTAATCAAGAATTGTTATTTCATATACTTACGTGACCCCTACTCCAGCCGACTTTTTCGACAAACGTTTCGGAATCGATTTGCGATATTTATTTTTCATCTGGCTACTGCCAATGCTTGGCCTTCCATTCTTGTGATTTTTCGCTAGAGAACTTCGTTGAACTTTAATGTCAGCTGAAGATGCCGACGCCGGATCGTCGTTACTTCTTGTCGTATCTGACGATGAAGAAGTGGGCGTTTCATTTTCACTGGAATTATCCGGTGTTATTTCCAATGGCGGTATGGATGTCAATACGACTTCGGGCATTGTTAATTAGTTTTTAATGGGCGTTCAAATATTTTCGATTATAGAAATTGAATATTTTTGAAGTTTGAAGTTTTGTAGTTGTTGCAGTTTGACGAAATAGTCAGTGTCTATGGGAATTTACAATTTTATTTTGGTTAAAAACGTACAGTGAGGAAGAACAAGAGGAAGGAAGAGTTAGAACACTGAGGTATTTGGTAACAGAGGATGTGTGTTAAGAGGAGAAAAACGGCTGTTATGACGGCCCACGCCATCACCATGGCCGGCGCTTGAGTACTGGTGTTCAACCGAAGGTGCACATTTTCAGCTGGCCTCTTTGGCAAGTAAACACACGATAATTTTGTTCGTTTACAAACTGCTGTACAACAAATGTTTTCTCATCGGACGGAGAAAACCAAATTCGGCAGTTCACCACTTTCGACCAAGCGTAGCAACTCTTTAGCTCTTTTGCGGTGTAAGTTCTTACACTTTTTGGAATTTCAATGGCTTTACCCCGAGCCCCATTTTTCAATATTTGCCGAATGGAATATTGCGATATGTTCAGCTCACGATCCATTTTTCGGCCACTGCGACGCTTCTTCTTCTTTACTTTTCGAACCATTTCTGTTGCTGTTTTCTTCCGTCCACTTCCTTGTCACGGTAACGAGCGATGGTACAAGACACAAAAGATTTATTCACATTTAAATGCTGGAGTGCTCTAACGATAGCCACTTGTGGTCTTCCAGCCAAATATAAAGAAATCACACTATCAGGCTTGAACTCCATCACGAATGACATTTTTTCTGGAAAGTTCTCACTAAAATGTTTTTGTTCGCTTGTAAACAATATAATGAGCTGCCACTGGAATAATTTTACCAGCTGTCGGAGGAATGGCTTACAAGTGATAGCAGTCTGAAGCTGGTTGCAGTCAAGGCTATATAAAAGCCTTAAAAAAATTTGGCTCCAGAACCTGAAATTCTTTTGGGGTTTTGATCTACAAACCGAGTACTTACACATCCGCTTGGCATTTTCTAAAAGCCCGATTGGCTATTGGATAGTAAAATTATAAGAAAATTGGCAGCGAATTCAGAAAAGTGACAAATTTTTCGAACATAAAACACAGTTTTGTGAAAACCGAAATTGATGATATTTTTTATGATACCTGTTAATTTTACAAATTTCTCTTGTTCAGATACTCACATCGAAATTTGATATAGAATATTACTTTGCTTTGCTTTTTCTTGCTTTGACATTTACACCAAAAAATGATAAATTATGGAAGATTTAAAAAAAAAATTGATGCTATTTCCGACATATTCTGCTTTCATTCGATAAAATTTAAAAAAAATGTAAAAATTATGGTAAGGCTTAGACTTTTGATGTCTTCTGGGACCTAAAGTAGAATTTTATGACAAATAAATTTGTAGAATATTTTGAGTTGCTACGATCCCGTTTAAAGGTAGTTTTTAACCATTTTCTTTTAAAGGACCAAATCGACCCCTCTAGTGACTCGCATGGAAGTGAAAATGTTGCCAAAGACACTATATATCTAAAATTCAAGGATTCCAAAGGGAGAATTCTGTATTATTTTTTATGTTCCACAGTGTAATCTACATATACTATTGTACCCTACAACACTATGTGTTGGGGGTATTATAAGTTTGATTGGGCCAGAATTTATGTAACACCTCAAAATATTGGTTTCCCACATAGGAAAGTATATATGGATCTTCCTATCTCGCCGAGATGAGTCGATCTAGCTATGTATGTCCGTCCGTCCGTCTGTCCATGTTAATTTGTAATCACGCTACAGGTCGCAATTATGGCCCGATCCTAACGAAATATTACACGAAGGTGGGGTTAGGGTCAGAATAGAAGCGCCCCGCTCGAAGTCGGCCCCGCTCGACTGTAGCCTTTGCTTACTTGTTTTTATATAAATTAACTTTTTTTATACTGTAACTTTTGCTTAAATTATGCTGGGAGCGCCTTAAAGTATGCTATGAAAATGCTACAAAAATGTGGAAAAAATCACATTACATATGACTCAAACATGATATGTAAACTAACCTTAATTCGCAATACACAATAAAGGCCTCCACAAGACATGTAGAAAACTATTCCATATTTATTTATTTATTTTTTTTTTTTTTAATTTTTTATTAAATTTAAAACCCACACCAACCACAACTTTGATGAAATAAAAGCCATAATGACCTTTAAAGTGGTCTACGGCAAATACTTCAACGTAAACGAAGCAATTACCACAATTTGTACAAATTGTGACAGCCAACTACACTTTTTTTACATGTCTAACCTGCCTTAAGGGCGATTTTGTTGTTGAATTTGAAAACCAGTACTTATCGCACTTTTTTTCCGAAACACTTCATTGCAACATTTTTTTTTTTTTTTTTGGTTTTTGTTTTTTGCATTCTAGAGTTAAATGTTTTAAAACAAAGATAATTGGTTTTGTTGGATATGAGTGAATGAATGTACATATTTTTTGTTGTAGTCCTCAAATTTTTAGTACCACATCAAATCACTGTTTATACAACCTCTTCACCCACCCATGCAATTTTATAACACTTTTTTTTTTTTTTTTTTTTTTTTTTTGGTAACCAAACTATTTTCGTTGTAGTTATTTATTTTCATGTTTTTTTAGAACAGAACCGTAATTCCATTCATATTGTTAATTGTTGTATGTGTTTTCTCTTTTTTTTTTTTGTGTTCTCCCTATAGCCTCGGCCCCTGTCATGGAAGTACCACCACAAAATGTAACCGCTTTGGATGGTAAAGATGCAACTATTTCCTGCCGTGCTGTTGGTGCTCCCAATCCAAACATCACTTGGATTTACAATGGTAAGTGTTGTCGTGCGCAAAACTTACTAAACCCACAATTTAAAAAACCAACGAAAAAAAAACAGACAGCTAAAATTATTTGAAAACAAAAAATGCAAGACAACTTTTTGGGGTGTTTTGAATTCCGTTTGGAAAAAATAAGAGAACCAGATTTTTTATTCATTTTCCACTGTATTTTTTTTCGTGGTGCCACTTGAAAGTGGCGAAACAACACTAATGTTATTTAACAGCGGTATAAATTCATAATTTATGTTTTGTGAAGTGCGAAATTGCTTTGCGGCCAATGTCAAGCCAGCAAAAGAAAATATCTTTTGGCTCCATTTCCGTAACTGCGATGTTCAAATTGGATTTGGAGGTTTTAGAGAAATTAAGAAATAAATTGTTAAAGAAAAAACCTAAATGGAATTGCAAAGAAATTAAGTTTTAAAATCTGTTTCAGAAATAGCATGTCAAGCCTTAATAATGATAAAATGAAGAGAAGAGCTGAAGGTGTTTTCCTCGAAAAACACAAAGTCTTCTCAAAGGGTTTTCTCAGAGAAAAGCAGAATGTCTTCTCCGAAAAAAGCAGAAGATCTTTTCAGAGAGGATCAGAGGATTTTATCAGAGAAATTTTTAAAATCTTCTCATAGAAGAGGTAAAGATCTTCTCGTAAAAGAGCTTAAGGTCTTCTCAGAGAAGATCAGAGTATTTTACCAGAGAAGAGCTGTAGTTTTATCCTAGAAGAGCTTAAGATCTTCTCCCAGAAGAGCTTTTGGTATTGTCAGAGAAGAGTTTTAGGTCTTCTCGAGCTTAAGGTCTTCTCCTGGAAGAGCTTAATGTCGTCTCTCATAGAAGAGCTGAAGGTCGTCTCTCATAGAAGAGCTGAAGGTCGTCTCTCATAGAAGAGCTGAAGGTCTTCTCTCATAGAAGATCTGACGGTCTTCTCTCATAGAAGAGCTGACGGTCTTCTCTCATAGAAGAGCTGACGGTCTTCTCTCATAGAAGAGCTGACGGTCTTCTCTCATAGAAGAGCTGACGGTCTTCTCTCATGGAAGAGCTGACGGTCTTCTCTCATAGAAGAGCTGACGGTCTTCTCTTATAGAAGAGCTGACGGTCTTCTCTCATAGAAGAGCTGACGGTCTACTCTCATAGAAGAGCTTAAGGTCTTCTCTCATAGAAGAGCTGATACGATACAGGGTGAGATAAAAAAACTGCACAAAGTCAAACGCCATAATTTTTAATTTTATTGAATGAAACCAAAAAAATGTCGGAAATAGCATTAAATTTTAGAATAAGTTTAGATTTGTTCGAATTGGTCACCTTTGGAAAGAATTATAGCCTTCAAACGGCCACACGCTGCCCGAATGTTGCTCTACGGTATTTTGGCCTATTCCCGGCGAAGCACTTGCTTGAGGTGATCGACACTTTTGTACTTTTTAGTGCCAACCTTGCTTTCCAAAATACACCAGACACAAAAGTCCAAGGGATTGGTATCCGGAGATTTAGGTGGCCTTTGTGAGCTGTAAATGAAGCGAGGGACCTCATTTTGTAACCATTCTTGGGTGGCGGGTGCTGAGTGCGATGGTACTGAGTCCTGTTGGAATGTCCAAGGTCTGCGGCCAAAATGTTTAAAGGCTTTAATACACCCTTCAGAATATTTTCGCGATAATATTCGGCATTTATTCTGATGCCACGGTCGATTAATACGAGCGGAGAGCGACCATCGGCTGTTATGGCGGCCCACACCATTACCATGGTTGCCAACCGAAGGTGCACATTTTCAGCTGACCTCTTTGGCAAGTAAACACGATAATTTTGTTTGTTTACAAAATGCTGCACAGCGATTATTTGCTCATCGGAGACGGAAACCGAAATTCGACAGTTCACCACATTCGGCCAAGCGAAGCAACTCTTTAGCCCTTTTGAGTCTATTTTCTTTCTGTTGCCTTGTAAGTTTTGTTTTTTTTTAATGGCTTTACCCCGAGCTCATTTTTCCATATTTGCCGAATGGAATATTGCGATATGTTAAGCTCACTAGCCATTTTTCGTTCATTGCGTCGAGGGCTTCGATCAAGTCGCTTCTTTAGTTTTCGAACCAACCTGAAGTTGGTGTTTTCCCCCGTCCACTTCCTTGACGTCGGGCTACACTACTAGTATCACGGTAACGAGCCATGGTACGAGTCACAAAAGATTTATTCTCATTTAAATGCAGGAGTGCTCTAACGATAGCCACTTGTGGTTTTCCAGCCAAATATAAAGAAATCACACTATCACACTTGAATTCCATCACGAATAACTATTTTTTTTTTTCTGGAAAATTCCAAAACCTAAATGCTTTTGTACGCTTGTAAACAATATAATGAGCAATCACGGGAATAATTTTAACAGCTGTCGGACGAGTGGCTTAGAAATGACAGCAGTCTGAAGTTGGTTGCAGTTTTATCATCTCACTCTGTAGGTGGAGATCCCAAAGGGTTTGCTCATAAAAGAGCCAAAGGTCTTCTCACAGAAATCCTGACGGCCTTTTCCTATAATATCTGATGGTCTTCTCATAGAAGATCTGATGATCATCCGATGGAAAACCTGAAGGAACTCCGCATCAATTTCCTGATATACATCCCAATGAATACCCGTAGATTCTCTTATGGAATATGATATGAGTTTTTTTTTTTATCTAAAACAGTGTTGAATCCTATATGAATTTCTAGAAATAAAAACAAATATTTTTTATACCCTACAACACTATGTGTTGGGGGTATTATAAGTTTGATTGGGCCAAAAATTATGTAACACCTCGAAATATTGGTTTCCCACATAGGAAAGTATATATGGATCTTCCTAGCTCGCCGATCTGAGTCGATCTAGCTATGTATGTCCGTCCGTCCGTCTGTCCGTCTGTCCGTCTGTCCATGTTAATTTGTAATCACTCTACAGGTCGCAATTATGGCCCGATCTTCACGAAATTTGGAATGGAGGTGAGACTAGGGTCAGAATAGAACCCTATTTCTTTTGGAGATGATCTCATAATATTTAGGGGTTGAAATGGACCAAATACTGAAAAATTTCTTGATTTTCCAGTTGCTCTACAGGTTGCAGTTATAGACCAATCGACACGGAATTTGGCATGTAGCTAGAGTTTAGGGCGGGGAAGAAGCCTACCAATTTGGGTGGTCATCGGATAATATTTAGAGGGTAAAATAGACCATATCTTTTGTGTTGAAAAAATGCAAAATTTTTCATTAAACCGCGAATATTTTAAATCCCGGCGAACTCACAAAGCCACTACATGGTTACTTCTGACCTTTACATTGATGTTAACATCCAACAAATCGGATATATAGCAAAATATGTGCGATATATATGTCTATCAATGAAGATATGCTTGAATGATCTCTTATATGTCGAGAACGGCTGAACTGATTTCGACAGTTCTCATTAATTCAGAATGGCCTCTTGGCAGGAAAGAAAAAATGTCTAAAAAAATCGCATAAAAATATCTCTCTAAAGATGAAAATATTGATTTTGTAAAATTTTCTCATATTTTTTTCAATTTTGTCATATTTTTGGCATATTTTCATTTTGAATTAAACATTTGGTAATATTTCTACAGCTAACAAAACTAAGTAGTTAGGGTATCAGGATATCATATACAGATCGCATTTATGGCCCGATCCTTACGAAATTTTGCATGGGGATAGGATGAGGGTCAGAATAGAAGCCTACTCTTTTTGGAGATGATCGCCATCTATTTAGGGGTTGAAATGGACCAAAAGACTGCAAAATTGTCAGCAGGTCGTAATTATCGCCCGATCCTCCCGGGGGGTTACCGGACATGCAAAAGCCAAGCAGTTTTGGATGGCCATCCAAAAATATTCAATGTGTGAAATAGTTTGCCAACTTTTGTGGACTAAATATGAAAATGTCCATTCCAGTGACTTTTTGGAGAATTCACAAATACAGGAAAGACGCACTTCTGACCATTTCGTTAACGCTGATTTCGTCTGTATCTCATATAGATGCGTTTCAGTCAAAAACCAATAATAAATGTTAATCTTTTGCCACTTCTGAGAGATTATAGGTCTTTGGGAAATATTGGTTCCAGATCTAGGAAGACCATTTAAGTGCAACATCTACAAATAAATTGGAAATGAGCAAATTAGTTTAAGTTGCTATTATTCTAAAATTAGAGAACGGAACCTGATGGTTTTCTTTTATAATTTGTCACAATATCTTGTGGAATTCTTTCGAGTATCTCGCCTATATAAACTGTATCGTTTATTATAGTGTTGTAGGGTATTCAACGGTCGGCCCCGCTCGACTGTAGCCTTTGCTTACTTGTTTTAAATTATTTTTAACTGACATTTGCTGCTCCCTAAAAATATCGAAATAATCTACATGGCCTTTGGCCACAATATATAATTTATTTTGTGGATAAACTACTTGCATGACATAAATATGGATTTTTTTTATAAATTATATATTTTTTACTAATCACAGATTCGTATTCGATTTTTTTCTTTTCTCCCTTTTTTATATGCCAATAATTTAACAACAACTACTGCAAATTTACCACCAACTGCTAACTAACCAAATTCAAACTATCAATAAAACGGATGTTTGAATTATTGCTACAAAAAAACAAAATAATATAACATAACAAAAAACCAACAAAATCCCCTCTCTCGAAAAAAACTCCGACAACATGCAAAATCCAAACTGCAATAAAACTATTTTTAAATGGTCGTTGAATGGATTACCTTTTTGACGTTGTGTGGCACCTCCTATGACTATTTGCACCACCATCACCATCAACATTGGAATACGGATATTTTACCCCTGGGCAACTTGTACAAAATCCATGAAATCTGTCGAAACGAAATTTGTGTGGATCCCCCAAACCGTTGCCCTTTTGTAATTCTTTGCCAACAACAAAACCACAATTTAATGTCCAATCTAAAAACTAAATGACTTTAATTGCACCGCCCTGCAAACACTCGCCTCAACGCTGCAATAATGCTTGACATGGGTGGCGGCACAATAAATATTTGATGCAACATTAAAATATGTTGTGTGTGTTTGTGTACGTGTGTGTGTGGGTGCGTCAATAAAAACATTACTGTCATCATCGCCATCGTCGTCATAACTTAATGCCATGGAAAACACTTTGGCTATGTGGCGTCATAATATGCACTTAACTTGGCGGGAAAAAAAACACCTTATTCAACATTACTGTCTGTCGGCGTTTTTGTGCTGGTATGTGGCATGCCACAAATGGCACAAACCATTGACAATATTTAATATTTACACATTGCTTGCAATTGTGGCGCCCAACATATACACGTTTTCCGTTCCTGTTTTTTTTTCGTCGCTTGTTTTGGTTGCAAAACAACAAACTGCGTAACGCAATGGTGACCGACGAACCGGAAATACATGGGTTTGACAAAAAATTTCATGTGTGTGTGTGGGTGGGTGTGAAAATCTACTATTACTGCATTCCCAACAAAAAAAAAACATGGAAAAACGCTCAATTGACAACACATTACCATCTCCACATACCATGCACATCATCATTTACATGCTGACGACAACACCATTTATCCTGGCGGTATACCTCTCTCTGCTCCTGCTTGTGTGTGTGGAAACTTGTGTGTGTATGGACTTAATGGGTGCCGTTACCACATTTTACAACAACAAAAACATCATCATTACAACACCAAAATCACCGTGATGATGATGGTGTGGGGGACTCATGGGATGGCCAACAACAAACAAACATGTTACGCGAAAAAACCCTACAACTATTCCTTTTGGATCCTATGTCGCCTGTGTGTGTATATGTGTCGGGTGTTTGCTGTGTTAAATGCAAATTCTTGCCAACTTTACCAAATTTGCATATTTCCCCTCGCCCCAACCTACGAATTCAAACAACATGGCTGATGCTGCTGGCTGACAACATTTTACCTGAACTTTACATTACATCCGCCATCCGCAAACCTTGGATACTCCACCCCACCAATGTTCCACATTGCACTGTGCAGAAACCCACCTGGTTGAAATTTCAAGCCGCATCCAAATTTTGGAATCTGGAGATTTATTAATTTCAAATGTACGCGAATCCGATGCTGGTCTTTATACCTGTGTACGCTCGAATGAGGCCGGCACCGTGAATGGTGAGGCCTATTTAGGTGTTTTGGGTAAGTACACATAATTTGTTTTACACCATAACCAATGGGATTTGCTATCCCCTTCGCACCATAAACCCCAGCAACTAGCTAGTTAACATGCCAACTAACATTTACGTAAATGCCGCACATAACTTTGCATATCAAACTTAAAAATGCATTTTTTTCTTTTCATTTCATTAACCTCTAAACATTGCATGTTGCTGCCATTGTTCATTGACATCGACATTTTTGTTTGTTTCCTTCCACATTGTTCTGACAGCTTAATTCACGTGCTAAGGGAATTAGCTGAATTAAAATTAAAATTTCCTTCAAATGGGGAGATATTGAAGTTTTTAAAAACATAGGTTTTCAAATTGCGAATGTTTTTCTTAAATTTAAGAAAAAGCGACATATGACCTTTATTTGTTCTTTAAACTTATTTGACTGACTTATTTTCTCTAGATGGGGAGATATTGAAACTTTTAAGAACATTGCTTTCAAATTGAGATTTTTATACCCTACAACACTATGTGTTGGGGGTATTATAAGTTTGATTGGGCCAGAATTTATGTAACACCTCGAAATATTGGTTTCCCATATAGGAAAGTATATATGGGTCTTCCTAGCTCGCCGAGCTGAGTCGATCTAGCTATGTATGTCCGTCCGTCCGTCTGTCCGTCTGTCCGTCTGTCCGTCTGTCCGTCTGTCCATGTTAATTTGTAATCACTCTACAGGTCGCAATTATGGCCCGATCTTCACGAAATTTAGAATGGAGGTGGGGTTAAGGTCAGAATAGAACCCTATTTCTTTTGAAGATGATCGCATAATATTTAGGGGTTGAAATGGACCAAATACTGAAAAAATGTCGGATTTTGCAGTAGCTATACAGGTCGCAATTATAGACCAATCGACGCGGAATTTCGCATGTAGCTAGAGTTTAGGGCGGGGAAGAAGCCTACCAATTTGGGTGGTCATCGGATAATATTTAGCGGGTAAAATATACCATATCTTTTTTGTTGAAAAAATTCAAAATTTTTCATTAAGCCGCGAATATTTTAAATCCCGGCGAAATCACAAAGCCAAGACAAGGTTACTTCTGATCTTTACATTGATGTTAAGATCCAACAAATCGGATATATAGCAAAATATGTGCGATATATATGTCTATCAAAGAAGATATGCTTGAAAGATCTCCTTTATGTCGAGAACGGCTGAACTGATTTCGACAGTTCTCATTAATTCAGAATGGCCTCTTGGCAGGAAAGAAAAAACGTCTAAAAAATCCCATAAAAACATCTCTCTAAAGATGAAAATATTGATTTTTTAACATTTTCTCATATTTTTTCAATTTTGTCATATTTTTGGCATATTTTCATTTTGAATTAAACATTTGGTAATATTTCTACAGCTAACAAAACTAAGTAGTTAGGATATCAGGATATCATATACAGATCGCATTTATGGCTCGATTCTTACGAAATTTGGCATGGGGATAAGATGAGGGTCAGAATAGAAGCCTACTCTTTTTGGAGATGATCGTCATATATTTAGGGGTTGAAATGGACCAAAAAACTGCAAAATTGTCAGCAGGTCGTAATTATCGCCCGATCCTCACGCACATTTGAATGGGGGTTACTGGACATTGCAAAAGCCAAGCAGTTTTGGATGGCCGTCCAAAAATATTCAATGTGAAGGAGTTTGCCAACTTTTATAGACAAAATACGAAAATGTCCATTCCAGGAATTTTTGGAGAATTCACAAATACAGGAAAGACGCACTTCTGACTATTTCGTTAACGCTGATTTCGTTGAAGAATATATTCAAATGTCTGTATCTCACATAGATGCTTTTCCGTCAAAAACCAATAATAAATGTTAATCTTTTGCCACTTCTGAGAGATTATAGGTATTGGTTCCAGATCCAGATCAGACCATTTAAGTGCAACATCTACCAATAAATTGGAAATGAGCAAATTAGTTTAAGTTGCTATTATTCGAAAATTAGAGAACGAAACCTGATGGTTTTCTTTTATTATTTGTCACAATATCTTGTGGAATTCTTTCGAGTATCTCGCCTATATAAACTGTATCGTTTATTATAGTGTTGTAGGGTATTCAACGGTCGGCCCCGCTCGACTGTAGCCTTTGCTTACTTGTTTAACTTAAATTTAAGAAAACAAGTAAAAAATATCAGTCGCCTTTGCCGACAGATGTATACCCTCAGCCAATGATCGATTATTTAAATATATTTTGACTTCTATTATGGTTATATGGAGTAGGTTCCGAAAGAATGGGCCAATATTGTTCGTTCGTATCGGACCTAAATAAATATGATATAAATATTGCGACGTGCCAGGTTTACTATATATATTGATAACTTCCTTAACTTTATATGAGATATGGTATAATTTAAAAAAATAAAATGCGAGTGAGGTTCCAGATATAGTCGACCGAAGAATTCCGTTTTCATAATTCATCTAATACAGATGGAAATATTGGTATGGCAAAATTGCAAGAAAATCGAACATTTATATTCACTTTTATGCGAAATCATAAATTCCGATAAATTTCATATTCATATGAGATTTCTATTTAAGAGGAATATTTAGATATAGAAGAATTTCCGACTTGTATCACAAGTTATGACAGATGAAAGTATTGAAAATTATGAGCCTTTGTGGCTAAGGTACCAGAGGGGGTTCGCACATATACATCATCTTCACAACAGAACTTACCTTAGCAAAAAATCAAATTCAAATCTAGAACACTTTGTGGGGGAGGTACCAGAAGGAATAGTCCGATCTCTACTATCTTTACAACAGATCTTGTGTTGATGAAAATATTAAGACGTGCCAAGTCTGAATGGAATCGGATGTTAACTTCGTGTTTTATGAGCTTCATGAATACACAAAATTTTGACCCTTACATAATATTTTATAAGAGATATAATTATTCTAAATTTTACTCTTTGTGAGGGAGTTACTTGATGAAGTCGACCGATATTGTCCGTTTTCACGACTGACCTAGAACTAATGCAAAGTTGGAGCGAGATCGAATTATTGCTTCTCTTTCTTTGCAAAAAATATTTTTTTTTGTTTTTTTTTTTTTTTTTTTTTTTTTTGAAAATTTCGACCTTTTTGGGGGAGGTACCAGAAGGTGCGAACCGATATATTCCATCTTAATACCAGTCTTTGGGTTAATACAATTATTGGGATGTGTGAAATTTAAAGACAATCGGACACATACATCACATTTTATAAGAGTTGTAATTATTCAAAATTTTAACCCTTGGTGGGGGAGGTACTTGATGGAGTGGACCGATATTATCCATTTTCGCACCTAATCTAGCACTGACGCAAATATTAGGATTTGCGGAATTGAAGCAAAAACGACCTTGGGTAAATAAAGTTATTGGGATGCGTTAAATTTTTAGACAATCGGACACCTACATCACATTTTATAAGAGTTTATAAGAGTAATTATTCAAAATGTTCATCCTTTTTGGGGGAGGTACTTGATGGAGTCAAACCTATATTTGCAATGTTGGAGCAAAATCGAATTATAGTTTTTCTTTCTGTGCAGGAAAAATACATATTTTTAAAAATTGACACCTTTTGGGGAGGTACCAGAAGAAGTGGACATATATTGCCCATCTCATAACTCGATCTAAGCTTGACAAAAATATTACAATGTACCAAGTTTAGACCAAATCGGATACTCTTTTCGAGAGTTGTCCGAGAGTTTGTAGACCCTCAAATTGGGACCTTTTTCGACCCTTGGGGGATTTTTTTTAGAAAATCGATGTCCAAAAAATTAGTAATTTTGACACACCTTATGAATCGTTTTAAGTAATGTGTGACCACTTGTGGGATAGATATTTTCATTAGCTTTCAAATGATACCTTAAGGACTTTTGTTTCAAATATGGTGGTGTCCGTCCCCCCCCCCCCCCCCCACCCAAAAAAATACTTACCAGTCAGGATGTTGATACCTACCTCTGGGAAAAATAAAAAAATCGAGAATTATTACTAAACTAGGCTTGTTTTCTAATTACTTCTGAGAAGTTTTTAATTATTATGTGGCACAATTTTAAAAAACGCGAAAGAGATTTTAAGGAACAGGTCATATAACCCCCCCCCCCCCCCCCCCATTGGCTCTTTCTTACTACTACTGCCCTAGTCCACTATTCATATTTAGTGGAGCTACCCGTAACAAATAAACGTTTATATTGGAATTGTATGTAAATTTGTTTTTATTATGGTTTTGAAGTAAACTATGTCCCCCAAACCATATCGTGACACAAACAAATTCAACTGGAATTCTATTTTAGTTTTATGACCTCCGGTGGGCGATCTTAATAGTTTAATGGCCCCCTTTTTTCAGTGTCAAAAAAATGAAAATATTTTTACAACTTCATCACTTTACTTTAATCTAATTACAAACAAACAAGAAAAACGTATCACGTGCGAAATTTAAATGGAGTCATAACACTTAAGAGCTCACTTCGTAGGCAAATAACAGTTGGCCACAAAAAGCAAAATATGATAGCCAAATTGTTTGGCCAAAACGACGAAAAATCCAATTATCATTATTGTAGTAATGCTGCTGATGTCCACTTGGCGTGCCATTTTAATATAAAGTTGAAATTTCGAATGCAATTAGATGCCATCATGTCACACACACACATCTACATGTGTATGTTTGAATGTATTAACGTGGTGGCCCTAACTAATCAGCAGCAGCAACACCACAACCACACAGCCATTTACATTCAAGCAAGTTTGTCCTTTTTCGTTTTTTTTTTTTTTTTTTTTTTTTGTAAAACAATGCCAATTTTAATAATATTCCCAATCTTTTTATCCTTTCCTAACTGCTGGTCATTTCAAAGTTTAAAGTGATTTTTTTTCTCTGTGTGTGTGTGTGTGTGAGTACTTTGGTTAATCACTACGGCTGCAGTGCTGATTGCTTTGGATTTTATTTGCTATGATTTTAATTGGATCATATCCAGGTTATTATAACAGTTGCAGTATTTTGGTGACTAGATGTTCGGAGGTACCCTTGATTGGCCACAGTTGTTATGCTGGTGCCGCCATCCAAAAAACAAATGACATTATGATCATCAGACTTTTGTTGGCGCAAAACTAATTTGCAGATTCAAAAAGCTAATTACAATTTGGTTTTTTCACACAAACGAATACACACACACACACACTCAGTAATACTTTGGTGTTGTGGATATGTATGGGTTATGCAAATGCGTATGCAAAACAATGTTGGTATCATGCCAAACGAACAATAATGACAGCGAAAAAATTGTTTGCATTATATGTATTGTCATTTTGGCGCTAACCAAACTTATGAAACTTATGAACACTTAAAATCAGCCGGTAACGCTATATGGGCCAAAAACATTGCTTGGTTTTGCCACTTTTTTAATTGGGCGAAATTTGACCCAAATTACTAATTTTCAGTCAAATTGTTTGTAAAATAAAAATTATGTAACTGCTCCACCAGAAGGTGAACCTATGTGGATCATTATACCCTACACCACAAGGTGGTCAGGGCACTATGTCTTTGTGCATTTGTTTGTAACAGGCAAATGGAAACGAGATAGACCCATAGTTCCTTTTGATGATCTGCATAGAATCACAATCGTTGAAATTTCAATGGCTTTAACCCGAGCTCATTTTTCAATATTTGCCGAATGGAATATGACGATATGTTCAGCTAACGAACCATTTTTCGGCCACTGCGATGCGGCTTTTCGATCAAGTCGCTTCTTTACTTTTCGAACCGTTTCTGCTGATGTTGCTGTTTTTTTCCCTCTACTTCCTTGACGCCAGGCTACGCTACCAGTATCACGGTAAAGAGCGATGGTACGAGACACAAAAGATTTTTGGGCATTTAAATTCTGGAGTGCTCTAACGATAGCCACTTGTGGTTTTCCAGCCAAATATAAAGAAATCACGCTTGAATTCCATCACGAATAATTTTTTTTGGAAAATTCTCACCAAAATGCTTTTGTACGCTTGCAAACAATATAATGAGCTGTCGCTGGAATAATTTTAACAGCTGTCAGTCTGAAGTTGGTTGCAGTTTTTTCATCTCAACCTGTATATAGGTCCACTTTTTGGCCGCCATGGAATGATACTTCCTGATTTTTGGGACATTTCCTATTTCCAACAAATCTGCTGAAAATTTACTTTTCGGATTTTCAGTGGGTTATTGAAATCCTCAATAAAGGATGTCCACTATATATATATATATTGGAATTTTCAAATTTTGGTGATTTTGAGGAAAACCGATTTTATTATAAGTCAAGTTTTCACTGGAAGGGTTTAAAAACCTCGACCTAGCCAAATCATAGTTTTTTCTCATTTTTGTATTTAGAATCGAAGTGACAACTAATATATTTTTTTTATGAGTATGAGGCCGATACTCCCAATTTTTATCAGCTTATTTCTGTTGTTTGCCAATATTACGAAGTTTGGACGAAATCGTGTACGCCTATCGTTGCCTATATTTTTGTTGAGGATTTTTCAAAATTGTTATCCTTTGCTGGGGAAGTGTCTATAAAAATTTAACAGATCTTTACTCTAGATACTACATTGGTAGAGATATTAAGAAGTGTGTGAAAAGTCTGCCCTAAATTTCACATTTTAAGTTTAGTCTTTATAAGAAAGTAATTTAAGTTAATATTAGAAAGTTAACAGAATATTGGAAATTAGAAGAAGAAAAAAATTGCACATGCTAAGATACGTTTTCAAAAATGAATAATTGTCTCTTTGGAGGATACCTTTTGCAAATTATATGCATTAAATGTAGAAGTAGAAAAATCCTTCGACTTTGGAGGATATAACCAATACCCGCGAAAAATTGTATTTTTTCACATCTAAAATATTTGGTTTAAAATTTCCATTTTTTAGATTCATATTAATATATTCTCTGCCTAGTCATGTCTTTCATGAACTTCAATACCAAAATTTCAGAGTAATTCTTGCTGCATTTCAATGCCCATTTACGAATAACAAATGAAATTTTTGAAATACATTTCAGTAAAATAAATTATACTTTCACTTGTTCACTTCGAATTGGCAATTCATCTTAGCACAAACATACATAAATATATATCTCCCATCTCTATACCTATACAACATAAATTTTCAATGTTTTTCGAGTTTATACTACCAACTTCATCATCATCATCATCAACTACGTCATTGTGGGACTAACAAATCACAAAACGAAACACACACACACAAAAATATCTCAAAACAATGCCAAATATTCAAACTGCATTGCATTGATTCATTCTCAGTATTTCGAAACAATTCCCCAAAATCAAGTATATGTAGATCAAACATACATACGGCATATATCATTCGTGTCATGCAAAGCAAAAAAAAAAAACATAAAATCATCACAGAATGCAGTTGGAAGACACATTCTTTTCATTTCTCACGAAACACATTTTTTTTTTAACTCATCACAATCCTCGCTCTCTCTCGCTCTCTCATCGATGGTTTATTGGAGATACTTTTTTTTTACAATACGCTCATGTTTTTCAATGTTTACTAATGTTTTTTTTCGCTCTCTCCCCCCTTTTTTCTCCACACCAATTTTCTAGTTCGCACACAAATCATTCAGCCACCGGTTGACACCACAGTTCTATTGGGCCTTACCGCATCGTTGCAGTGCAAAGTCTCCAGTGATCCAACGGTGCCCTACAACATCGATTGGTATCGTGAAGGTCATCCAACGCCCATTAGCAATTCGCAGCGCATTGGTGTACAGTCCGATGGTACATTGGAAATACAAGCGGTACGAGCCTCCGATGTGGGCACCTATGCCTGTGTTGTTACCTCGCCGGGTGGCAATGAAACACGGTCAGCCCATTTGAGTGTCATCGAACTACCATTTCCACCGTCCAACGTGAAGGCAACACGTTTGGAGGGTGCCAACCAACGTGCCATAAATGTATCCTGGACTCCGGGCTTCGATGGCAATAGTCCAATATCGAAGTTTATTATACAAAGGCGTGAAGTGTCGGAATTGGGTAAGTTCAAACGTACATTCATTCACACATCTATCTATGTATGTTTATATTTTACAATTCCCTAATGGAATTTTGCATGAGTGTTCCTAGTCTGTAAGTGTCTGAGTGTGTATATGTATGTGTGTTACAGCAAGCACATGTTTGCTGTGTATTTATTTTTTCTTTCTTTCATTTCGCATTTTACGGGTTGCCAGAGGATTCGTTCGCTTATCATGTTTAGGTGTTATCGTTATTCTATGATATGTTATTATGTATTACACGAAATATAAACATAAATTGACATTTTATCGCTTTTATTGTGAAAATATTCGTGTCAGATTTTTTTTATGTGTCATTCAAAAAAAAGTTTAATAGTTTCGAAATGACAACAGGAAAAAAGGGTAGAATAATTTGTGTGCTATGAAAAAAAGCAAAATCAGAGCAAATATAATTTGGAGTTATAGGTAAATTAAAAATAAAAAACATGTGAATGAAGTGTAGCATAAACATGATATTGGATAAGACCATGATACAATAATTACAAGGTAGGACATATTTATTAAATGTTAATAATACAACCTTGTAGCTATGGTCTTGTGGATTCATTTGTTCCACAATATTTTGATTTCAATTTTTTTGAGTTTCTAATATGATTACCTTTATTCATTATCAAACGCAAAACCATAAAGTGTAAATTTTTAAAAGAATCGGAAAATTTTTAAAACTATTAATTGATTATTTTTCAGAAGTATGGTGCCAATATATTCCATTTTGAAGCTATATATTCCATTTTGATCCTAAGTCCTTTCCTTCTAGGACTTAGGATAGGATATAGCTTCAATTTTTATAGCCTCCACCATATCAACTTTGTCATCCCGTTTGTAACTCCTCGAAATACTACAAAGTATACATATTCTGGATCAGCGTAAAATTCGAAGTTGATTTAGCGATATGCATCTGTCTTCTGAACCAATCGAGATAAAAGACTAAAATTTCGTATAGTCCCCATAAAACGGTATCTCCCTATATTCGGTATTTTGATGATTTTAGCGACATTATTCATCGGAATTGTTTCAAAGTTCGTAATTGAAGGTTTTAATTGGTATTACAGCATATGATAAGAAATTACATATGCAGTCACTTTTCTTCGGATAGCCCCCCTCATATAACGGTACCTCACATTATTCGGTATTTTGACGGTTTTAGCGACTTATAAACCGTAATTGTTTGGAATAAGTACTCTTCCGTTTCAGTTTCTCCCTCAGCCTGATAAAACCTGCAGGAATCGGTTGCTTCGTCACTGCACTAAAAAGTCATAGCTTTTACGTTACAGTGACCTGTGATGATTTCCACCACAAATATTAGATCTGATTTCGCCATGGAGGTGAGCGATCTGAAATCTTTTCCCAGAAAGTGCCGGCCAGCAAGGAGTAAGTCTACCCAGAGAGAACCTAAAAAATCAAATTATAACTGATATGCTTGGAAATGTTTAAATTCTTTTAGTTTTTTTTTTTTTTTTTTTTTTTTTTGAAACTTGAAATTTCATAGTACAGCTAATTTGATTGGAAAAGATGACCGAAAGTTCTTAATATCGAAAAGGGGACACTATTATATGGAGGCTACACAAAAGTTTTTTTTTTTTCAATTTTTTTTTGTGATGAATTTTTACTTGGAATGTCAAATTACAGCTGATTTGATTACAAATAGTTACGAAACCTACAAATTAGAAAAGTGGACCTACATTGAATGTCTTTTGCAAGAAGTAATTCAACCTAGAGAGCATCCGAAATATCAGATTACAGCTGATTGATTTGTTTGGAAATTGAGAACAAATCCTTTTACATTTCGAAAATCAAGGCTACGGTTATGTGAGGTGCAAACTTCTTTAAAAAATTCCGGCAAAATCAGGAGTTAAATTATTTATTGAGAACTCGAAATAGCTGATTTCATTGGAAACCGACCAAAACTTTGAAAATATCGTCAAGGGACACCAATATTAAATAAATATCAAATAACATTTAATCGGGTTTATCGCTCCGTTTCATCCGCTCTGTCTGAAACTGCAGTCAAAAAATCCTTTTAAAACAATATTTAATATCCCTTTTGTCAACTTTTTACGTATGTAATTAATTGTGTACATTTTTGTCTCGAAATTAAACAAAGTTTTAATGTTGATGTTTACAACCACATCTAAAGGAATATTTTCACGGTACATAAAGCGATAAAATATATTAATTATTTTTATTTGTGTGTATGTATGCTTTTGTGCGTGTGTGTGTGTTAGTTAAGATATGCATGTCTACAACAAAGTTTCCACGGCTTTGAATAAATTTCAGCGAAAACTTTTTTAGAGAATAAGAAAACAAACCCCATGCAAATATAATCGACTCCAGATAATTGGAATTCAAAGAAGGCTTATTGAATAAAAAATTTCGAATCTGAAAAAATATTTATAACTATAGGAAATGTGCAAGTATATAATCACAGATAAATCGGGGCAATTTGGGCTTTACGGGGGCAAAAAGTCTTGAGATTCTACAAAAAAATTTAGGATATTTTGAATAAAATATTTTTTGATATTTTTGAACAGAAAAAAAAAAAATACTTTGTGAACTTTTATTTTCTAAGCGATAAATTATATACAGGGTGAGATGAAAATACTGCAACCAACTTCAGACTGCTGTCATTTCTAAGCAACATCCGTCCGACATCTGTTAAAATTATTCCAGTGACAGCTCATTATATTGTTAACAAGCGCACAAAAGCATTTAGGTGAGAATTTTCCAGAAGTTATTCGCGATTGAATTGAATAGTGTGATTTCTTTAAATTTGGCTGGAAAACCACAAGTGGCTATCGTTAGAGCACTCCAGCATTTAAATGCGAATAAATCTTTTGTGTCTCGTATAATCGGTCGTTATTGTGATACTGGTAGCGTATCCCGGCTACAAGGAAGTGGGGGGAAGATCAGCAGAAATGGTTCGAAAAGTGAAGAAGCGACTTGATAGAAACACGCGTCGCAGTGGCCGAAAAATTGCTCGTGAGCTGAACATATCGCAAATATTGAAAAATGAGCTCGGGGTAAAGCCATTAAAATTCCAAAAAGTGCAAGAACTTACACCGCAACAGAAAGAAAATAGACTCAAAATAGCTAAAGAGTTGCTTCGCTGGGCCGAAAGTATTGAAATGCCGAATTTGGTTTTCTCCGATGAGAAAACATTCCCTGTCCAACAGTTTGTAAAGAAACAAAATGATCGTGATTACTTGACAAAGAGGTCAGCTGAAAATGTGCACCTTCGGTTGGCCACCAGAACTCAAGCGCCGGCCATGGTTATGGTGTGGGCCGCCATAACAGCCGATGGTCGCTCTTTGCTCATATTAACCGACCGTGACACCAGAATAAATGGCGAATATTATCGCGCAATTATTCTGGAGGATGTATTAAAGCCTTGGGCACGCAATCGTTTTGGCCGCAGACCTTGGACTTTCCAACAGGACTCAGCACGCGCCACCAATGAATGGTTACAAATTGAGGTTCGTCGCTTCATTTCCAGCGCACAATGGCCACCAAAATCTCCGGATACCAATCCGTTGGACTATTGTGTCTGGAGTATTTTAGAAAGCAAGATTTGCAATAAGAAATACCAAAGTGGCGATCACCTCAATCAAGCGCTTCACCGGGAATGGGCCAAAATACCGCAGAGCAACATTTGGGAGGCGTATGACGGTTTCATTGGCCAAAATCTAAACCTATTCTAAAATTTGATGCTATTTGCGACATTTTTGCTTTCATTTAATAAAATTTAAAATTAAGAATTATGTCGTTTAACTGTGTAGCTGTTTTTGTATTTCACCCTGTATATTCTTCATCCGATTAGTAAATTACTTCCCCTCAGCCGTAACAACGATATTTGGAGAAACATATTAAATTCAGCTCAGAAATACCTTTGCCAAATTTTATAAAAATCTATTCAGATTTGGATATATTTCCCATATATATCTTCACTCGATTTCCAGTTTATTGTGCACCAAATGGTTAATATTAGCTCGAATTGAATGGATTTTGGCACATATGAACGAATTCCTCATGGAAGATACTGTATCAAATTTGGTGAAAATCGGTTAAGATATAGCTATAGGTCCCATATATCTGTTTCATCCGATTTTGTATTCTACACCCTCACACCCATAAAATACTCTCCACAACAACGATATTTAGTGCCAACTATCAGATACAGAATAGAATAGCCTCTGCTAATTTTTATAGAGATCGGTTCAGATTTGGATATAGATCCCATATATATCTTCATCCGATTTTACGTGTATTGTGTCTAAAAAATGTAATATCAACTCAAAAGGTTGTATTTTGATGAATATCAGTTCAGTACGATGGAAGCCTATCAAATATTAGTTCATTTCGAATTTAAATTATAACTGCTTAAGTAATCATAGCTGGTATGTTTTAATGCTCATAAATTTCCCATAAAAAAGGTTATTTGTTAATGGTGTAGGGTATCATAAAGTCGGCCCAGTCCGACTTTGGCCTTCCTTTACTGGTTTTAAAATTCCAATTATCCCGAGTCGACTGTATTTCTGTACGAATATATTTGCAATTTTTAAGATTAAAGCTATTTTTAAACAGGCTACATGTAAACGCTTGCTTGCATTGTTCAAATACTTTTTTGTTCAAAAAAGAAAAGAAAAGAAAACAACCTAACAACAAAAATAATGGTTTTTATGTTTTTTAATTTCTTCTTCTTGTTTTTTCTCTCGTTATGTGTGTGCGTGCGTACGTTTTCAAAAACTTTGGCTTTAAAACAACACCACCACCAACAACAACAACATCATTACCACACACATATTACCAACAAAACGAAAAATAAAACAATGCAAAACAATTTCCCATATAACAAATGCAAACACCAACAAATCTACACACATGGCAATGGATGTGCTGTCTTCTCCGGTTATTCAATTCACCCACCCACCAATCCATCCACCCACCGTAAAAACACTCAACACTCTTTCACCATTCCATTCTCTCATGTACTTGGGTTTTCGGGAATAAAATTTGGATCTCTCTCAAAACAAAAACCCACCAACAATCATTGTCGTTATCACACCACTCAACAACATCTCCATCATCAACATTGTTACCCCTGCTACGCCTCACCACCTCCACCTGATGCCTAAAACCCATCAAAACAAAAACTATATATGTATTTATTTTTTAATCTACATTTCATTGTTTCCGAATTGCATTGGTTGGCCGGCTCGCTGATGGCCGTTCCGTTTATTTGTTTGATCCTTTATTTCCTTGTTGCTAAATTGCTTTCATCGATTTCCGTTTATTTTTCCATTTGATTGCTTTTTATTTACAATTCTTTTTCAATTTTAATTTTCGTTTCATTGTTTTCTAAATGTTGTGATGCACTTTGCTCCTCTCGCTCTCTGTCGTCCTTGTTTGAAATGAAATATGAAAATACAAAACATTTACTCTTTGCACCTGAAAAACATTTTTTGGTTTATTTTATCATTTCAATTCCGTCCTCCTCCTCATAATAACCTCACCTCCCCATCCTTAACCCTTTTTCCCATTTAACATTTTTCTTTTCTTTATTTTTTTCTTTTCTCTCATAATTTTCAAATCATTAACGCCATTAGAAAAATTCGTAGGTCCCGTACCAGATCCCTTCCTCAATTGGATAACCGAGCTAAGTAATGTTTCGGCCGAAAATCGTTGGATTTTATTGGAAAGTTTGAAAGCAGCCACAGTCTATCAATTTCGCGTAAGTGCCGTTAATCAAGTTGGCGAGGGTTCACCCTCGGAACCAAGTAATGTTGTGGAGTTGCCGCAGGAAGGTGAGTTGTAATATATATAATTTTTATTTTAATCAGACTTTCTGAATTATTTTTTATCGAAAAATCCATTTTTAATTTACTTCCGGTTTAACAAAAATTTCAAAATTTATTTTTTTTTAATTTCGAAATTTTTTGAATTTTATTATTTTGTATTATTTTTATAACAGAAAGTCTGAATATCGAATTTATTTGTAAATATTTGAATTATTTAGTATTCATTTTTTTTTTAATTTTAATTAGTGTTTGTGTACTTTTTTGAGTTACGAAAAAACCAGAGCAACAAAATTACGTGAATCCTATTTTATCTAATAGTTATAGAGCTACCAAAATTTCGTGTCTCGGTTAGATTTAAAAAAAGGTTAAATATCCTAGATCAATATTTACCAAGCCGTAATGGTGATATATAAAAAAGAACCCATGCCCCACTACCTTCACTTAAAAGCTTATGCGCGTTGTTTACCTCGATTTAATGATACCCTTAGTCATATGGCGTGCATTATAGAAATTACGGCTTAAGACTTAAACTTAGATCGAGCTCGGAGGTGATCAAAATCGGGCCACTACTTCCGGTACCTCCCCCACAATAGGTCAAAATGGATTTTTTTTTCATAGAAAGAGAAATGATCATACAAGTTTGTTAAAATTAAAATTCTCCCATCTGTATAAATGTGAAATCAGGCGCGAAAATTGACAATATCGGTAGAGTTCTTCTAGTACTTCCCCCACAAAGGGTTAATATTTTGAATAATTATCTCTGCAGTAAAAAGTATAAGTCTTATTATCTTCAAATTTCGCACATCTCAATATTTCTACCAATTTCAAATATGGTATGAAGATAGGAACGGGTCAAAATTTTAAGTAATCATAACGATCATGAAATGCGACATGAGCATTCGACTCTTTCAAACTCGGCACATCCCAATATTCCTACCAATACAAGATCTCGTGTGAAAATGGAGCGGACCACTCCTTCTCCTCCCCAAAGGGTCAAAATTTTGAAAAATTATAAACCTTATAACATGTTTTTGAAGTTAGCACCGTTTGAGGGGTCAACAATTGCTTAATCAGGATGTGATACAGGGATTTTGAGAAATCGTTAAAATTGAAATTAGCTCCTTATTTTTCCCAACTTAGCTCATCCCAATTTTACGACCGAAATTGTTAGACCTTTTTTCAAGAAATTGGAAAGTGCGAAAAAAAATAAAAATTTCAACCATTTCTATGTCAATTGTTAAGTTTTTGAAGAAAAACGAGTGACATGTGGCGAACGATGTATCCGATTTAATCCATTCTTGGGCATTCAATCTTTGAAAAAAAATCTCAATGTAAGTCCATTTTTTGGAGTAGCGCCCTCACGGAAGTATCTTTACCTCCAGATTTTACCTCTTTCGAGGGTCTTGACCACATTTTCTAATGTCCAAAATATAACTTAATCGGATACATAGTTTGAATTAAATGACATTCGTTATTTTTCAAAAATTGGAAAATTGTTGAAATTTAAAAAAAAAATGTCCTCTCAATTTCTTGAATAAAAGGCCATAACAATTTCGGTCGAAAATTTGGGATGTGCTAAGTTGGAAAAAATCAGGAACTAATTTCAATTTTAAAGATTTTTTGAAATCCCTATATCACGGACCCGTTTAAATAACGGCCAATTAGCTAAAATCCCAATTTTTTGTTTTTCAATCAGCCGATCTTAACGGATAGTTCTCACTAAGTACATTTTTTCCAATAAGATTTTTCAAACTCTCAGTAACTCAACTGTCAAAATTGCTCTCTTAACTCGCTCTCATTTACTACACTTTTGGGTTATGGAACTACATTTTGTACAAAAAAATATAAGGTTATCGTACACATCTACAGTGTGTTAAAATCTTTAGATTAGTAACAGTTCCGTAGTAGAATCTCTGTAAAAAGTCGTTAATATATTAGACAAGAAGATTCTTGTATGTAAATGTATAAAATATAAAATTTAATAGGCTAAAATTATATTGCTAGAAAACAACGTGCACAGTAGAGTAATGCGAACAACAAATCTTTTTTTCGACTTTTTTCAATTTTATTTATTTAGTTTTTTTTATCAAAAATTCTTTAATTTTTTTGGTTTGCATTGCCTTTTGATTTCGAAATTTTCAAAAAATGCCAATAATTGATCCCTCTATTAATGCTATATATTCATGCTAAATTTCTCTTTACCCTTCACTGCATCTGTGATTGAACAAAAAAATCGTAGAATTACCGCTACATCGAGGTATATATATTGTGTATAAAAAATTAAATCAATTGTATAAGCTTTTCTCAATAATATAAGTTTAATAATCGAAACAATATCTCTTTCCAATATTAATTCATTTTTCTTGATCTCCATCTAGCACCCTCTGGTCCACCGGTAGGATTTGTCGGTTCAGCCCGATCACAATCGGAAATTATAACACAATGGCAACCACCATTGGAGGAACATCGAAATGGACAAATTCTCGGTTACATTATACGATATCGTCTATATGGCTACAACAATGTACCCTGGATGTATCAGAATATCACAAATGAGGCCCAACGAAACTATCTGATACAAGAGCTAATAACATGGAAGGATTATATAGTACAAATTGCTGCCTACAACAATATGGGCGTTGGTGTCTATACGGAAGGTGCTAAAATCAAAACCAAAGAAGGTGTACCCGAAGCCCCTCCCACCAATGTTAAGGTACAGGCCATAAATTCCACTGCCGTTAAGGTGACATGGACACCACCAAATCCCCAGCAAATAAATGGCATAAATCAAGGCTATAAAATCCAAGCCTGGCGTACGCAACTAATTGATGGCGAAGAACGTGAAGTGGAGGAGAAAATGATGACGGTGCCACCTAGTTTATTAGATCCCTTGGCCGAACAATCGGCCACACTGGCGGGTTTGGAGAAGTTCCATGACTACAATATTACCGTATTGTGTTTCACCGATCCCGGTGATGGTGTGCGTAGCTTCCGCATACCGGTTAAAACCAAAGAAGATGTACCCGATGAAATAACTGCCTTGCATTTTGATGATGTCTCTGATCGTTCGGTTACGGTGCTTTGGGCTCCGCCCAAAAATATAAATGGCATTTTGACCGGCTACACAGTGCGTCACCAAGTCAAAGATCGCCCGGAAACAATGAGATCCGTCAATTTAACAGCCGAAGATACTCAGTTGGTGGTTAATCAGCTACAGGCCACCACACATTATTGGTTCGAAATTCGGGCATGGACCCGGGTAGGTGGTGGTCCACCCAAAACTGCAACCATACAATCAGGGGTTGAACCAGTACTGCCACATCCTCCCACAAACTTGGCCCTGTCAAACATCGAGGCATTTTCGGTCGTTTTACAATTCACTCCTGGCTTTGATGGCAATTCCTCAATTACCAAATGGAAAGTGGAAGCTCAAACTGCCCGCAATCTAACCTGGTTTACGGTATGTGAAATATCCGATCCAGATGCTGAGACACTAACCGTAACCGGTCTAACACCATTCACCCAATATCGTTTGCGTCTAAGTGCCACAAATGTGGTGGGAACATCTAAAGCTTCCGAGCCTACCAAGGATTTCCAGACCATACAAGCTCGACCGATGCATCCACCATTCAATGTTACCGTTCGTGCAATGTCAGCTACTCAATTGCGGGTACGTTGGATTCCCCTACAGCAAACGGAATGGTATGGTAATCCTCGGGGCTACAACATAACATACAGGCAGGTGGAAAGTGAAAATCGCGTTACTCCAAAAAGCGTACTCATAGAAGATCATACGGCCAACTCACATGTCCTTGAAAATCTCGAGGAATGGACGGTATATGAGGTTTCCATGACGGCCTGCAATGATGTGGGGCAATCGCGGGAAAGCGTTATTGCGGTGGAAAGGACTAGGGAGGCCGTACCCTCCTATGGCCCTCTGGATGTACAAGCGAATGCCACATCGTCTACCACGATTGTCGTCAAATGGGGCGAGGTGCCCAAGCAGCATCGCAATGGACAAATTGATGGTTACAAAGTCTTTTATGCTGCCACAAATCGTGGAGGTCAGGTGCTGCACAAAACCATACCAAATAACAGTTCGTTTACCACCACCCTAACGGAACTTAAAAAATTCGTGATCTATCACATCCAGGTATTGGCATTTACTCGCCTTGGCGATGGTGCATTGAGTACACCACCTGTAAGAGTACAAACATTTGAAGACACCCCAGGTGCACCCTCAAATGTCAGCTTCCCGGATGTATCGTTCTCCACAGCTCGCATTATTTGGGATGTTCCTGAAGATCCAAATGGTGAAATTTTGGCTTACCAAGTGACATATTCCCTGAACGGAACGTCCAGCTTGAACTATAGTCGTGAATTTTCACCATCCGACCGTACATTCCGTGCTACCCAACTCTTGGCGGAACGTTATTACATATTCAGTGTTACCGCCCAGACTCGCTTGGGTTGGGGCAAGACAGCATCCGTATTGGTTTACACAACCAATAATCGTGATCGTCCTCAGCCACCTTCAATGCCTCAAATATCCCGAAGTCAAATACAGGCCCATCAAATTACCTTCAATTGGACGCCAGGAAGGGATGGATTTGCCCCGCTGAGGTATTACACCGTGCAAATGCGTGAAAATGAAGGTCCCTGGACATTGCTGCCAGAAAGAGTTGATCCCTCACTGACCTCTTATACAGCTACGAACTTAAAACCGCATACAACTTATCAATTCCGAATTCAAGCTACCAATGATTTGGGACCATCAGCCTTTAGTAGGGAGAGTATAATTGTAAGAACATTGCCGGCAGCTCCATCGGTTTCGGTGACCAATCTTAAAGTCGTGCCAATTACAACAACTTCGGTCAGAGTGAAATGGAATGCCTTGGAAACATCCATGTGGAATGGTGATGCCACAACGGGAGGCTATCGCATATTGTATCAACAACTTTCCGATTTCCCCACAGCCTTACAAGCCACACCCAAAACCGATGTTATGGGTATTAACATTGATTCGGTGGTGTTATCGGATCTACAACAAGATCGCAACTATGAGATTGTGGTATTACCATTCAATTCCCAGGGACCGGGTCCAGCAACCCCACCTGTAGCAGTTTACGTGGGAGAGGCTGTTCCAACGGGAGAACCTAGAGCTGTTGATGCCGCACCCATATCTAGCACCGAGGTACGTTTGCGCTGGAAGCCACCAAAGCAAAGTATGCAAAACGGAGATCTGTTGGGTTATAAAATATTCTATTTGGTAACCGATTCACCGCAAGAACTTGAGGATGGTAAAACATGGGAAGAAGAAATTGAAGTAGTATCCGCCACGGCCACATCTCATAGTTTGGTCTTTTTGGATAAATTCACTGAATATCGGATACAAATATTGGCATTTAACCCCGCCGGAGATGGACCCCGATCAGCACCAATAACCGTGAAAACACTACAAGGCCTGCCAAGTGCACCACAAAATCTACGTTTCGAAGATATAACAATGCAATCGCTTAAGGTGTCCTGGGATCCGCCAAAGTTCAAAAACGGTGAAATATTGGGGTATTTAGTGACCTATGAGACCACCGAAGAAAATGAAAGTGAGTAGTTGAACGTTCTGTTGATTTTCAATTAATTTAAAATGTTTTTAAATTTTCAGAATTCAGCAAACAAGTCAAACAAAAAGTGTCGGGTACCAGTTTGTTGGTACAAAATCTGGAAGAGGAAGTAACCTACACCTTCACCGTCAGGGCTCAGACAATAGATTATGGTCCTGCAGTTAGTGAAAATGTGACAACGGGGCCCCAGGATGGTTCACCGGTTGCCCCACGTGATTTGATTTTATCCAAGACATTATCCAGTGTAGAAATGCATTGGTTAAATGGACCTTCAGGGCGCGGACCCATATTGGGCTATTATATCGAGGCCAAAAAACGAGGTGAGTATTTAAAACAAATAGTATTTCTGGGATTTGAAGGTATTCTCTATTATCCTACATTAATGGATTTGGATTAAAAAAAAAACATATTTTTTAATTTTAAGATTTAAAAAATGGTGGAAGGATTGTTTGATAATTTTTTTAAATATTACAATTTAAAACTCATGAATGGAGTGGATTTTTAAGATTTCAAAAATGCATGAATTTAATTTAAGTGGCAAATTGTGTGCTATTTTCAATTTGTAGTTTTGAAATGCCTTGGAAACTTGATTGATAACACAAAAACTAAAAGTTTTATACCAGCAAATGCACAGATTATACTTAAAAGTAATGTAAAAAATCTGTCGTTTTATTCCAGAATAATTCATTCAAAAACTATAATTTTTTTTTATCCAATACCAGAGACAAGATGCCTTGTCGCATTCGATACGAAACCTTTTTTATCGAAATGATTTATTCCGTACAAATTACAGCTTGATGTAAATTTCGGTACAAAAACTCGATATCAAATGTGGAGCATAGGCCGAAATTATTGTAGGAATCTAACAATTGATCCTTCCAAAAAACTCTAACACATTCTTATGAAATTGGGTCTAACACAAATACTGCTCCACTGTAAAACCAAAAATAAAATCTGGGCATTATAAAACTATCAAAATGGAAATTGAAAATAGCACCGTTCGAATAAAGATTTTACAGAATAAATTGCCTTGGCTACGAAATTCCAATCACAATCCTTCTTTTCTCTACTCTAAACCAAAATAATAATAATAACAAATGATATTGTTTGGAATTCTATTCCTCAAACTTGGTTGTTGGAAATTTTATTTATTTTTTACAATTTCTCTTTTTAAATCTATTTCTTAAATTACTCAAAAATAACTTTTGCTATGCTGGTGTTAAAATTAAAACTGCTTTTGTAGAACGAGGCGAACCATCATTTATTTGTAAGTATTAGCCATACATAGAGAAAAATAATAAATTCTCCATGCTGTAGTTATCCCAAATATTATTAACTTTTCTCGTAGATACATTTATAGTAAGCATATATCCTTTACTAATGCTGTATAGAATAACTCTTTCAAGCCCAACCCTAGATAGTGCTAATCTAATTCTAATTTCGTAGAAAAATAAAACAACAAAAAACCCTAATCAAAGACCAATTACTGATACATTTATTTTATTTTCCCATATAGACGACTCCCGTTGGGAGACAATCACGAAAACCACCACCGGTACCATACAAGACTTTACAGTCAGTTACCAAAGTCTGTTGCCCTCGACTGCCTATACATTCCGGGTGATTGCCTATAATCGTTATGGCATATCATTCCCAGTCTATTCAAAGGATTCAATATTGACACCCTCCAAATTGCATTTGGAATACGGTTATCTACAGCATAAGCCATTCTATCGTCAAACATGGTTTATGGTTGCATTGGCTGCCACCTCCATTGTGATTATAATTATGGTTATTGCAGTATTGTGTGTTAAGAGTAAAAGCTATAAATATAAACGTAAGTGATTGTTGTTTTTTGCTCTGGGGCCACAAACAAATTATGAATACATATTTTTTCTTGTCATTTCAGAGGAAGCTCAAAAAACACTGGAAGAATCAATGGCCATGTCTATTGATGAGCGCCAAGAACTAGCCTTAGAATTATATCGTTCACGTCATGGTGTGGGCACTGGTACCCTTAATAGTGTGGGTACACTGAGTCGCGGCACATTGGGTACGCTGGGCCGTAAGAACAATAATCGACCACCAAACAATGTTCAACTGGGTAAAAGTCCGCCCCGGCCATCTCCTGCATCGGTGGCCTATCACAGCGATGAGGAAAGCCTAAAATGTTACGATGAAAATCCAGATGATAGCAGTGTAACAGAAAAGCCATCCGAGGTTAGCTCGTCGGAAGCGTCGCAGGTAAGTTGGTTATGGCGATTTTTGGCATTTTGAATTTTCGTATTCAAATTATAAGTCGTGTAATAATAATCTATGTAGTAATAACGTAAGAGATTATTTAACACTATGCAACACAAAAAAATGTGTATCGGAACAAGTTCCATCCTCTCCGGAACCTGTGTGTTTTAGGTATATGTATAGTGTCTCTGGCAATATTATAGATAAAAATACAAGGCTTTTCAAAATACGTAGAAACGACTTCTAAATGTGGTCGTAGCCTGTCAACTACTATAGGTCCTAGAAGACGTCAAGAGTCTAAATCTTAACTAAACGCCAGGATTTCATATACAGGGTGAGATAAAAAAACTGCAACAAAGTTAAACGCCATAATTTTTACATTTTTTTAAGTTTTATGAATGAGGAATCCCATATTGTAATCATTCTTGGATGGCGCGTGCTGAGTGCAATGGTGCTGAGTCCTGTTGGAATGTCCAAGGTCTCCGTCCAAAATGTTTACATGCCCAAGGCTTTAATACATCATCCAGAATATTTTCGCGATAATATTCGGCATTTATTCTTACACCACCGTCGATTAATACGGGCGCAGAGAGACCATCGGCTGTTATGGCGGCCCACACAATCACCATGGCCAGCGCTTGAGTTCTGGTTTCCAACCGAAGGTACACATTTCTGATCTGTTTGGCAAGTAAACACGATCATTTTGTTTGTTTACAAACTGCTGGACAACGAATGTTTTCTCATCGGAGAAACCCAAATTCGACAGTTCACCACTTTCGGCCAAGTAAAGCAACTCTTTAGCTCTTATGAGTTTATTTTTTCCAGTTGCAGTGTAAGTTCTTGTACTTTTTGGAATTTCAATGGCTCAGTATTTGGCTTCAATATTTGACAAATGGAATATTGCGATATGTTCGGTCCAAGAGCCATTTTTCGGCCACTGCGACGCGGGTTTCGATCAAGTCGGTTCTTTACTTTTCGAACCATTTCTGCTGATGTTACTGTTTTCTTCTGTCCACTTCCTGGACGTCGGACAAAAGATTTATTCACATTAAAATGCTGAAGTGCTCTAACGATAGCCACTTGACAGCAGTATGAAGTTGGTTGCAGTTTTTTCATCTCAGCCGGTATTACAAATGAAAACTATGTGTTTATGTTTTAGTGTTAATTTAATGCGTTTCCATTTTAAGTCAAAATTTCCTTGATTTTTTGGGAAAATATTCTAGATCGAATTTCAATGTGGGTCTATGAAGAAAAGAATTTTTTATACTTGATATGTGCCGTAGAAAAATATCATTAATTTCGGTTTGTGAAAGCATTTTTTTTTTCTTTGTTGCGGCAAATATAGTCTTTTTCCGAAGTCGTGTAAATTTTCTTCCAATATCCACTCTGGGCTTTTGAAATACCTAGCAGATTTAATAGTACTGGGTTTTTTGCCCAAACTTTTATAAAGCCTATATTTTGAGATGTATTTCACAACATTTTATATACAGCTTTAAAGATTTGTGTAGAGCTCTGGATTACTTCGAGATTCATGGTTTTAAAAAATTACTGACCCCGATTTCCACTATTTTTTATTTTCGTCAAAAAAAACTTAAATATTTAAATTAAATAATTTAGTCTTTGATTTTCTATCTAATGTTTTATTTCTCTTCATATTCCAGCATTCGGAGAGCGAAAATGAGAGCGTGCGCTCTGATCCACATTCCTTTGTCAATCATTATGCCAATGTCAATGATTCACTGCGACAATCATGGAAGAAAACGAAACCCGTACGCAACTATTCCAGCTATACGGATTCCGAACCCGAAGGCAGTGCAGTGATGAGTCTCAATGGTGGTCAAATTATTGTTAATAATATGGCCAGATCGAGAGCACCATTGCCTGGTTTCTCATCTTTTGTCTGACAATCTACAGAATTGTAAGATTTAGTTTCAATTATCAATTTTCTCCTCCTGCCCCTTATCATTATCATCATACCTCCTCATAACTGAACAAACAATCACCAAACACATTTACATTACTGCTGCTACTTGGCACACCGTAACTACTTACAAATCATACAACAAAAAAACAAAAACAAAATCATATTTTTACTTTCGAAACAAAAAGCTAAAGAAAAATGATAAAAAAATAACAAAAAAATGAAACACAAAAGATGACGAAAACAAATGTCTGCCTATATTTATTTTTTAGTAATTAAATTGTATGTAGGATCATAAGAAATTCTAATGAAATTTATTAGATTGTTAAGCTAAAGAAAAAGAAAAAACAAAACTTTATTTATATTTAGAAAACGACAACTAGGTATAATGGTACCAGATATGCATTCATTTTTATTTCCTTTTTCCAATAATTATCACATTTTCCGTTTATTTTTTCCTTTCATATAATTTATTAGACGAATTGTATGTTTTTTGTTTATTATCTATTACAACACTGGGCTACAGCTAAAAAATTGTTTGTAATTGAGAAGTGATTCGGACTTAAATATGAACATGTATTTTATTCGATTACAATTTACAACCTGCTTCTGCTGAAATTGGCGAAGTAGTACCAAGTCTCTTTTTCAAAAATATCCTGTTAATAATTTTTATTTGAAATCTAATGAAATCTTTCATTCAATATAAAATAACCACCAAAAGTTAAAAAAAATTAAATTTCATTTTTTTTACTCTTCTTGTTGGTTATTTACATTGAAACCAACGCCACTTCAAAATTACAATTTTGTAGCAATGTGTTATTTAGAACTTAAGGCCATTATTAGTATTGTTTAAGATTTGAAATGAAACATAATACGATTTGTATATTTTTTAAAAGCTATTTCAAATGAATCCTTATTAAGTATTATTCTGTTAATTGAATAATTTACTTAATTAATTTAAAAGAGCTTCATTTAATAGCTTTTAAATCGAAACTAAAATCAAACGAAAAATCCCTCTCTTTCTCTCCCCATCCCTATTGTATTTGTGAACTACCCCCAAAATTAAGTAGTAAGATAAAAACGAAAACAAATTGTAAGTAATTGCAGATTTATTTAAGTTGTTAAAATTACAAAATCCCTTAAGCTCTTGTAAAATATATTCAGAAACACGTTACCATAGTTAGGAGTTGATGTGTAAAGTAAAAATGTGTCAGCAGTTTGTCTTTAAAAATCTCGATAATGAATTTAAAGTTTTTTGTCATATAAAAAAGTTATGACAATTTCAAATATAACCCAATCTGTGCGACAGTACTATGTAAAAGAAGTCATGACGATTACAAATTTAAATTTCATTCAAATGTCTAAGTTAAAATTGTGTCAGTTTTTCTTGTGTGTATAAAAAATGTATATTTCTTCTTCATATAAAAAATGAGTCGACAATTTCAAACTTAACCCAATCGCTGCGACGACACCATATGTCTTTGAACTAAAATCAAGCTGAGAGAGCTGATTAAATCTATTTATGCGACGGTAAAATAAATTACTTCCAGACATATGTATTTTTATTATAGGCTTCGGCAGGCCAATATTTGTGGGTTTGAATCGTTTAATAAACATTTCGAAACAAATGTTTCCGCAAGTAATGGGTTAAATCTCATTCGTATATGTTGTTACAAATTCGAATTAGTTATTGTTCACATGGTTGATTGGTATGAATCCCTATTTAAATAAATATTTCATATTTCAAAACAGTGTAAATTACAAGCAAGATTTGAAATCAGATTTAATGTACACATTATTAATGAATAGTTCTTTAAAAACAAATTGAATTTCACTCATTAAATTACTCGAATTTAAATGGCAAATGCAGTCATTTACCTTGAAGTCTTCAAGTGTCAAAAAAATCTGTATAATAACCAAAATCCTCACGCAAGGTAGCTAAAAACGGACCAGTTGTTTTACATAATCTCGACATGATTGAAATCCAAAATAAACTAGCCCTTCGATTAAATAATTGTTATTCCGTTTGTAACTCCTCGAAACTCCTCATGTCAGACCCAGTATATATATTCTTGATCAGCCTAAAATTCTAAGTCAAATTAGCGATGTCCGCCCATCTGTCTTTTGTAATCAAGCTATCTTTCGAACAAATTGAGATAGAAGGCTAAAATTTTGCACACATGTTTATTCTACCAGTAGACAGGTTAAGTTCGTAATTGGGCCTTGTAGGTCCACGTTTTCATATAGCCCCCATATAGCGGCACCTCCGAATACTCGACATTTTTATGATTTTGGCGACATTATTCACCGGAAGTGTTTCAAATTTGGTATTTGAAGTTCGCAATGGATACTACAGCCTGTGACAGATAATTGTCTGTGCAGGTCCACGTCTTCATATAGTCCTCATATATGATGATTGATGATGATTTTAGCGTCATTATTTGCCGGAGAAGATTCAAATTACGTATTTAGAGTTCGTGATGGGAACTACAGTCTGTAACAGGCCGCACATATCAGTACCTCCCTATATTCGGTATTTTGACGATTTAGGGTACAATACTCACCGAAATTGTTTGAAATGTCGCATTTGAAGTTTGTAATGGAAGCTAACAGAATTTTTAACGGATTTTATTTTCTGAAAATTTCCAAATTCGTTCCAAATGGTGGAGGGTATTTCGGCCGAACTTACTGCTTTTTAACTTGTTTTAATATGCTATTTTAAAGAACGACTTATCCGATTTGATATAGGTCTCGCTTCGCTTCCCTTTAGCAACAAATAATAAATGTCCTCTTCAGCATTGAATTCTATTCGAAAAACAGACCCTCGCCACGCAAAAACAAGATGTCACAAAATATAGTAAATGCCTTTAGTTTTTAATTCTGTTCGATTTAATTCCACATCATTTTGTCTTCATAATTTCATAATAAAATTTAAAACTTGCGTTTATTTAAATTAAAAACATGTAACTATGGTAATGTTTCTGAAATATTAATATGAAACAAATATCTGATAATATTGTTTGAATATATCTTTCAAACTTGTGATAATAAGACTTTCAATAGGAACAAAAACAAAAATCACATCAACGATTATACGTTTTTTCTATGTAATTTGCTATTTATTTCATAAACGAAATAAACAGTGTAATTGGTTTTATTTCTTCCTGTGTTGTATTTTCAGTTATTTCATTCATTTTTAATTAATTTACAATAACGCAAATCTCTCAAACATTGACACATATTTATCTGGTGGGGGATAAATGAGTTGAGCGATTAATTTGAAAACAAAATCTCTAATTTTGGCTGTGTCAAAAATGTGAAAAATAACTTATTTTACCTCCACCGCTCAAAATCCCAAAAAAAAATTCTTCTCATTTCTGTCAACTTTGTTAGCACAAACCTCATCTTTCTAATTTCGTTTGAATTTTTTTTTTGTGTCATTTCATTGTCGTTAGTTTTTTTTTTCATTTCTTTACCATTATAATTGTATATGAAATCGTTTATTAGATTTAAGATAACTTTAACTGACCAGACAAATCTCATAATTAAAAATATTTTTATCATTGTCCTCTGTATCTGTAATCAAATAAAAATAAATAAATGTGTAAATATTAACTATCATTAAAATAAATATATATAATTTAAATTTATTAATTTTTTTACCGAAAATTTTATAGACTTGTAAAATCAATTTAATATCATTAAAATACAGTTTTGTATTTCATAAATGTGTATTTATATTAAATTTATATTCAAGTGCTTTTTTTATTTTTAAAACGAAATGCCTTTTAGTTAATTCTTAATGTATTTTTTTAATATCTAAAACAAAATAGATGCAATCTATTTTTTTCAATGTTCTATAGGCATATCCCTTTTTTGCTATAAATACATATTTTACTTTAAGTTTTACATTTCTAATATTTTCATAGGCCATATTAAGAAAATGCAATTAATTGTAGTTTGACCAAACTAATATAGCAATTTTGTTCTTATCGATTTACCTTACCAACTAATTTGAATATTTGTTTATTTCTTTTTTTTTTTGTCTCCAGAGATTACAAGAAAATGAGTCTACAGACTGATTATTGTATTTTATATAAAATGTGTAAATAATATAAAGTGCAACTTTAGAATAATTTTAAAATTGTTTATTTTCGAAATTAATTTGAAATATATTTTTATTATTTTTATTTTGGGTTTATCATACAGATTGTATACATCTTTTTGATGTATACGTAGAATTAATAAATTGCTCAAAGTTTTATATTCTAAGTTTACTTCTAATTTAAATTTTATTTTATTTAATTTTAACATATGTTTTTTTTTTTTTTTTAAATAGATTTAAAATCTTTAGCATCTAACTAAATCCATACATTCATATATTAAATATAAGGAAAAAGTATTAAACTGAAAATGAAACTGTACTTGATGAAAATAAAAACAAACAAATTAAAATGGAACTTATATATCAAATAAAACTTAAATACAACTTGCATTTTTATTATAAAGTCGATTTTTTTTCTGTTGAAAATCCCGTTAATAGGGTAAGTGTACCAGTAGTCGGCACTTTTAGGATTTTCGCGTTTGTAATCGCTCACCATTCTGAGTGGAACTTTTCAATTATTACAAAGTTAATTTATTCAGATTTGAAATTTTGTATAGTTTTTGCAATAATAAATAAAGTTTTAATAACCTTTTATTAAATTTCATAAATTTGTAGTTTTATTAAAACAATGCTTTTTTGCCAGTAGTCGGCACCACTTGCCAATTGTCTGTATGGCATGTTGCAACAGTCGGCATACCAATTTTTTTGTAAGAATAATTAATGATAATAATAAATTAATTCATAAAAATATAATATTTTTGTTTAGTTAAACTGATTCGACGTCTTTACTGTACTTTTCTTAAGAATATGGATTGTTGAGGACTTTCACATACAGAAATTTAATTTTTATTAGAATAAATCATCTTTTCTTAGCGAAATTGTACACAAAGATAGCTGACAATATATTTGAAGTAAACAAAATATATTTAGTTATAAAAGTTTCATTTATTTGGGCTTAAAAATAAAAAGTGCCGACTACTGGGACATGCCGAACTTAGGCACACTTACCCTATTTTCCGAATATCAGGTGTTCGAGTTGTATGGCGCTATAAGAATACGTGACACAATGTAGCCTATTGCCTACCAGCAGGGGCGGTGCCTATTACGAACTCCAAATACCAAGTTTGAGATAATTTGATTGAAAAATCGTCCAATCAATATTCCATATATTGGGATGGAATAGATTTTTGAAGCCATATCTGTAATTTCTAATGCTTTTTTGCGGTTCTTCGAAATATTTGGTAATTTAGGAGTAACATATTTCTGTAAACATTCTAATGCCGTTTTCTCATGTCATCGCTTACCTATTGCCTGGTAGAAAAAATAAAAGTCAATATCCATTTTAAAACGTGATATTTTGGCCATTATTCAACATTTTCAATTTCAAAATTGGTTTGACAGTTCGTTGCCTCCGCAGCTGTATCAATGCGACTACCTGTGTTCTTCTACTAGTATATGTAGTATATGTGTTCTTCAACCAGTATGTGTATATTTTGAAAATACATACCAGCGCCATCTTTTATAATATGTTGCTAGTCTTGCCAATTATTTGAAAATACGAAGCAGACATTTTATTGTAGCTTTAAACCGGTATATAGAATTGGTAGGAAATGACACAATTTGGTCCGGTTTCATTGACAGGGACTTGGCTACAGGAAAGGGCATTTTACTTTTTTCTCAGTGTTTGTCGGTTGACGCACAAAATGGTGTTTAGTATCATGGTTACCAGATTGAGTAATATGGTGACTTTGAAGGATTGTCACATTTAAAGCAAATTGATGACGTTAAATGCCTAAAAGTATGCAGGAATTGTCGTTGAATTGAATTTATGAAATATGATTGGCACACTGAAACAGTTGTTTATGTTTAGGTGGGGCCGATTTTTAAAACCCTGCAAGGGATTCATGTTTTTGATCTGGTGAACTCTGTGAACTCCAGCTCAGGTCTGAATTTCGACCTGCTAAGCCCTGAATGCCTTCTTTTTCGATCTGTTGGTCCCTTTTCCCTTATATTAATAGTATTTACCCTAATACAGACAGAAGCAAATTGCAAAAGATAAATATAAATATAAGATTCCAAAAGGACAACACATAAAGAGATTTTTCAACAATATATTCTCTAATTGTTACACAAATTATAACGTGACTTCCAGTCTTTGAGAAGACAACTAATAACAATAATGGGACAGGCACAGAGTTTGGCCGATTCTCTGCCGGATGTTGATAGCGTTCATATGCAGGTAGTGCGTCATACAAAAGTTCTATCGGAAATCAATTCCTTAACATATGAAGAGTTCAAAACTTGTTTGGGTAATTTAAATGCACTGTAAGTTTATTCGAAATTTGAGTTGTAAATAAAAAAATAATCTTTATTGATTTTTTACATTTTAATTAGATCTCGCAAATGCATAGACCCAAATGGAAAGCAACTGGTGTTTTTGGTCAAGAATGGTACAGACACATCACTCCTGTGGAAAGCGACCGTTAAAATAGCCTGTGTAAAAGTTAATCCTGAGACAAGACAAATCGATTCATACAAATTTCTCAATCTCAAGCAATTTTTATGTGTATTCAAAACGTTTCAAGCCCATTTGGAGAGTCTGGTGAGCAGTGAACAACACAGGGTAATAAATCATATGAAAATCACACTCATTCTTTTGTTTTTCTTTTGTATTTTGTTATGAACAATGAAGATTTATTATGGAATTCCGTATTTGCGTTGTGTACAAGATCATGCTTTAGAGAAATACATACGGTTAAGGGACAACACTTGTAGAAAGGGGAACATCGAGTATTGTATGTTACCAAATACGAATAATGTTTCTAATCTCATACGAGCAAAACCTCGGATTAAGATGAATGGAGTCAACCAAATTTATCCCAAACTCTTACTCGCTCTTACCTTTCCAAAATGCTAAAATTTGTGCTAATACCTTTTCTGGGTCCAGAGGTATTCTCTTCTGGGTGCTTTCAACCAACTGCGCGAACTAAACCCAGACTTTCGGGTCAAAAATCCGTCCCCCAAGAAAAAAAAATAGTTTCCCGGGATCAGGGTAAAAATAACTAGCCCTGGAAAAAAATTTCGAAAAAATCGAAGAGAATTTACTAAATTTTCCCAACAATTAAAAGTTTTTACTGAACATTGTATTTTGCGTTTCGCAATTTTTTGACGAGTGATTAAAAAGCGTCTTTCTCTCTCGAAGGAATTTACATTATATGTATTGGAAAAGTACACAGACTAACTTATTGTAATAATTCCTTTAAAATATAAATAATTAGTAATAAAAATTTATTTGAACATCTATCTATTTATATACTTTTATGTATAAAGGAACAACGACGAGATTCACAATCCACCCCAGATGACGAAGAGTCAACCAATAGCAACAGTCAAAGGCATCCCTTACCATCACAGTTCACCACCTCAATGTTTATGAACGCCATGAGCAATAGCCCAGATAGTGGCAGCGGTCTCAGTAGCCCATCTGTATCTACATGTACCCATAACGACCACATCGATGAGTGCTCCATATGTTTGGACAGACAAACTGAAGTAATACTACCATGTACTCATTCCTTTTGTACGCCATGTATCGAGCAATGGTATTTTGATTTATCGAGGGAAATGTATAGAACACGAAAAAAATAAATGTCTTCTTTTTACCTTATTGCAGGAACGTCAACAATAAAACATGCCCTATTTGCTGCGAAAGTTTGGAGAGCACCGATGAAACATGGGTAATGTCGAACATTCCAGAAGTTGAGGAGATAAATGAAGAAATTTGTGCTGAATTTATGAGTTTGGCCAAAAATAAATAACTACATAGCGTATGACAATTTTGTTTGGTATAACTATATATATTTCTGCCAAAAACAAAGCAAGATCTATAATATAGTACATACATATTAATATGTTAAAACATTTGAATATTTAATAAAAATCATTGTTCGTTTAGTTATGTAAGTTAATATGTAATGTAGCAATAACAGTTGTTTGTATTGACGCAATTGTTGAACTAGACTAATGTATAATTTAGAGAATTAACCATGAAAGAGAACAAAAATCCTATATCAAATAGCTGGTAATAAATTATATATGAAATAACTGTTTGTTTTTTAATTGATCATGACAGAAGGGGGTAGTCTCCAGTTAGACATATTAATATGTACTTACCTCGTCGTAGATAAATTTCTTTATAGAGAAAAACTCGTTATGGAAAACCTTCTGGTAGGGAAGATTCACTGTAGATAAATCAAAATTTGTTTGGTCTCATTAAAATAGAATTTCAGAATAAAAATTAATTCATCTTTTTTCCAAAAACAAAAATCTAAAATCCCACGGAAAAGACAAATGTTTCATATAAATACATTATATTTAAACAATAAAATTCTTATTATTACACTCAGATTAAACAGAATGTTTCTTTCAAGATTTTTTAAGTATGTTTGGAAATCACGTTTATATATTTTTTATGATTTATGAATACAATTATATTTAAAAGTGACATTATATTTAATTATCTAAAACATTACATTGCGTATGTACACAAGAGAATTTTTTTATTGTTAAAGTAAGAAAACACAAAACGAATTGATGTGTATTTGAATTAAAATGAAAAAAGAAAAACAATAAATTAAGTTATTGGAATTATACATAAAATTAAAACATAAAAAATGATTTCGATATTTTCTTTACAGTAAATGAGTGTAATATCGAGTGTGTGTGGAGTTGTAGGAAAATATAATAATAAAAACTAAATCAACAGTTCAATCATTCAAAATGAATGGTGTTTGTAATCCTATGCTGAAATAATCTAGAATCTATATTAAATTAATTTACTTAATTGATGGTTGGTGGAGTAAAAGCAATTGGTTGCTGTTTAGAAGCATTAAGATGTCATCAGTTGGCACGTCGTTTTATTGTCACCTTGCCTTTAGCTAAATGGGACATATTAATTTTAACCTTACTACTGCTGCTGTCATTAACCTTCTTAACCCATACCTGAAAACAAAAAAAACATGATTTCAATTGTCCTTATAAATGTGACGTGTTAACAGAATTACCACTTCATTGCCTATGGCTGTAATGGTAGCTGCGAATTTTGGTACATCTTTGCCTTCTACATATATCTGTTGGCCACGATGGAACCAACGTTTTTCATATAATAATTTGCCATCTTCTATACGTGTTTCCACATATTGTGTAGTACCATTGTCGGATACAATAGATGTTTGTTGCAGACTATTCGATCCGTAAGAACTACTAACAGATATGCCATTTTGTTGTAACGCTAAAAAATACATTCATTTATATTTCGCAAACTCACTTCACAATTTTGATTAGAACTTACTCGGCGTTAAAGGTTTCCCCCTTTGTATTGTTTTAAGATCATTTTCTATTTCCTTTTCATCTAACATATATACCAATAATTGGCCAGTTGTAGGTTTACGTCTTTTTTCCACCACAGGCACAGGATCGTTGGGTCTTCTACGTAATTTACGTGTCACTGTGGGTTTGATCTGGTAAAAAGGATTTTGTTTATTATTAATATAGCTCACTTTGAAACCAAATACTTAGTTTTTCATCTACTAACCTCCATTGAGTCATTAGTTAGTTCCAGACTGTAGCGTTCATTTTCGATCAATTTTCGCCTTTCTTCAAAGTCTGTTAAAATATTGTCTTTTAAATCAATCTGAAAATAAAAATAATGTTAAGCAATTAATGATATTTTCCTACATTTATTACATTATAGAAGAAGATAACACCAAATAAAGACAGGTGAAATCGTCTTTGTAAAAGCACAAAGAAAACATTAAAAATATATGCAATTATTGAAAAAAGAAAAAACCAATAACAATAATTTTCATGAAATGTATCATACAGAGAATGAGCAGCAGTAATCAAATTACGTACTTTTATAATATGACAAATACAGAGACACGCATACTATCTTCATTATTCAGTTTAGTTTTAAATAAAAATGGATTTTTGTCGTTCCTTTATAGGTAGATACGATTATAACAAATCAAGCCACCCATAAATATCATATTGTTTTCATGTTGACTTATGCTCACGTAGACACGCTTTGCTATTGCGTTTCTATATTTTAAGAAGAAAAACGTTTCGTAGACCTACCTTTTTCTCATCGTACTCTTTTTGTGCAGCTTTCTTTTCCAGGATATAGTCCCTTTCCACACATTCTTTGAGGTAGTCTCTATAAATTTCGTTCAATTTTAATCTCTCCTTGTATTGATATTCCAACTTCTTGAGTCTCTTCAAGTATTCAGGATGTGTTAGACTTTTTAATTCTTCAAGTTGTTTATTTAAGCTGGCTAATTTGTGTTGATACATTCTAATGAAGAAGAAATATAAACGCAATGTTAAAATAAAAAACCAAACACCATGTATGCTATGTATATTGTTTACGTACTGTTCTTTAAGTTCATGGTTGTGGTTGTTGGTACCATTTGTTGTTTGGTGATTGGAGCTGGTATAGCTGGGAGTTCGTCCATTATTGCGAAACTCGGTTTCACTGGCATCATCAGTATCTTCAAGGATTTCATTAATATATAAATTAGAGATTTGTAGTGAAATATTTTTTTTATTTCTTTAATTTTCTTACCCTCTTCACTGTCATAGTTGTTTTGTTCAAAGTTATTATTAGAGCGAGAATCATCGTTGTAGTCTGCAAACCGTTCGTCGTCGCTTGCGACCCCATAATTTGGATAAGACATGACGATTTTTCTATATTTATTATTCAAAAACACTTTAATTTTTACAATTTAGTATCTGGAAAAGTTTTGTACACTTTACAATTTAATAGAAGGTAAATTAGGTGTCTATAGTTCGTTTTTTTGACATATTGGTTAATCGACCATCTGCAACAATTTATCGATATTTCAATGTCGTGTTATGGCATAGTGGGCTGACGACATCTTGATTTTTCCTAGGTGTCTCAATTTCTCTTTTTTGCTTTCGAGGCTCCACAAGTTTTTATTACGGAACTGGGCCTAAATTCTTGTTCCATGAAAATATGAAATGAAGAATATTTACATGGTTGAATCAAAAAGGTAAAGTCTTGCAATCATATGTTTACCATTGCTTTCAATATTATTCGTTTGTCAAAATTTATATTTATAATTCCATTGTATACGCAGAAATCAAATTCTTTTATCTGACATTTTTTCCTTTGCCAAAGTTTTCATTTCACATTTTCATTGATTGAGAATTGACGCCATGATAAAAACCATAGTAAAATGCCTACAAGGTGGGGCAGATATGAAAAATACAACTCTGAAGCTAAAATCTTGTAACTTCAAATTTATTAATAACAAATGCAACAAGTTGTTTTATTTATTACGCCTTCGAAAACATCATCATTGTCAAAATGTGTGTTAATAAATCCATTGGTATGCACAAATCATGTTAGAAGAATGTAGGTAGACGCTTCGACACAGCTGCTGGGACAATAAACTGTCAAATTAATTTTTTAAAAAATTGTTTAAAAAATGCATATTATAACAATTTCCCATTGGCGTCACTGTCCTAGAGTCTTATTGTATCATATAGACCTTTTAAAGTATATAACATTTTAAAATCAGGCATCTTTCGCGCTTTTAACACATTTAAATAATATTCACTGGAAACGGGTATTGTTTTACCTAATTTATAAAAAGTAAATTTTTTGTTGAAACAGAATTTGAAATAATTTCGAATTGTTTTCTTTGTTATTTACAACAATACAAACAAGGGCTTAGTGCTCTTTTTAAACTTACGAAATTTAATAACTATTTTACAACAGCAACAGGGTTTAAATAACTTAAGGGTGATTAAGAATATTTGATAACAAAGGTTTACATTTATTTAAGATTCTGAGATATTAAATACTCTTTTAAGTCCATATTTCCCCTATCATGACTAAAATATAATTATAAATGTTTTAGTATCTTTCAGAGTATAAAGTATTACTACCCTTAAAATATAAAAATAAAATTAGTAAATAATGAAGCAGTTCTTTTTATACACTCCACTATTCTATGGAAGGTATATAACTTTGTAATTCCATTTGTAACTCCTCGAAATATTTATAATAGGCCCTACAAAGTATATATATATATTGTGGATAAGCGTAAAATTCTAAGACGATCTAGCGATGTCCGTCTGTCTGCATACATGCATAGTTTACCAGTAGGCAGGTTAAGTTCGTAAATGAGCCCAGATATTCGGTATTTTCATGATTTTAGCGACATTATTTACCGGAATTATTCGTTTACGTCTTCGTATAGCCCCCGTATAACGCTACCTCCCGATAATCGGTATTTTGACGATTTCAGGAACATTATTCAACGGTTTCGTTTCAAATATCGTATCTTAATGGGTACTACAATTTATGGCAAAAAAAAATCGTATGCAGGTCCACGTCTTCGTATAGCCCCATATGACGGTACCTCCCGATACTCCATATTTTCATGATTTTTGCGACATTATTCATTATTAATGTCAAATGAAAAATTTTATGAAGGAAATATTTTCCATTTTATGTTTTCATAGAACAAAAATCCAGGCGCAGGTCCATATCTTCGTCTAGTTCCCATATAACGGTTTTCATTTAATTTTAATTGAATTTATCTAAACCTTAAGATATATCACAGTATTCCAGAAATAACAAAAAATAAAATTCAAGCGAATATTTTTGGCATAAAAAATTTAAAAATAGTTCAAGAATAGCTTTTTAGCATGCTTCCAGCAAGTAGCCTTGTAAAATGCATGACTAAGTTGCCTTCGTTCACGGAGAATACAATCAAAATCTTAAATCCCAAATAAGTCGATCAACCATGATTGAGTTTTTCAAAGGAACTTCTTTTTAATTTTATTGATAATAATTCAAAATACTTAAGATCGTGTTGAATTACTTTTGAGACATTAAAAAATCTGATGCAAACTTTTCGTTCTGCGAATTGGGATCAATAGCTGCCGATGTAAGGAAATCACTGCACTAAAAATATTCATCTTCAATTAGATTCTTTAGCAATTTGAAATACATTAGTTTACTGGCTTATACAAAGAACATTGTCAGAGCTTTGTAATAAATACTAAATTATTACTGTTCTTGCGAGTGTCTCAAATATTGAACTCAAGTAAGGGTGGGGCTTTGGAAACATTTTGATATAAATTTGGCTTTAAATTCATATAACATGCTTTAATGGAGTTAAAAAATTATCAACCAAATATTACCACTAGTTCTACTCAGAAAAGTGACCAAAAAATTTATTCTCAAAACGAGACTAATAAAAATCTTTTCAAAATTTACACTCATGTTTCTTCAATATTGAACGAAATTGTACAATTTTTTTTCTGAACCACCTTTTGTTTACATTCAAGACTTGCACTTGTATTCATAGCAGACACCAAGTTTTTTTGCACTTTTTAACACATATTCAATATCCCACTTTGTCAATAGAGAATATTTGTTTCAATTTAGCAAGCTAGGTTCCTTCTGCTGCTATTCCTTCCTTACAATAATTAATGAACAAGTAGTTTTAGTGTTGGTTTCTTCTGTATCTTTTTTGTATTTTGTTGTTTATCATTTAAAATAGAAAACACATCTCTTTATGAAATTAAAAAGATTTACGTCTAGCCGGGTGATGTCCTAATCACCAAATGTCAACTAGTAGTTTATTGGGGGCGACCACGACCGAAACCTCCACGGAATTCAACATCACCAGCGCCAGGGCCAACATCACCCTTCTTATCAGCGCCACCAGGAGCACGTCTGTAAGCGGAACGATCTTCACCAGTTTTGCTGGCATCGGCGGTACGCTGACCGGCAGCAGCTGGGCGGGGACGCACAGTTTCGGGTCTGGTGGGACGCTTAAGTGTGGCGGGAACGATTTCAGGGGGCAAGTGCAAGTAACTGCGCAAGAATTCGATACCTTCATTGGTCAAGTACCAGTAGTAATGTCTCCAGGCGAATTGTTCCTTAACCAAGCCACGGGAGTGGAGGGACTGCATTGTTTTGATGACATGCAAGTTGGGGATGCTCTCAAGTTCAGGATGCTTGGGGGCATGGGTATCTTTTTTGGCTACGATAACACCCTCTTTGAAGAGGTATTCGTAGATAGCAACGCGATGAGCCTTGGGCATAAACATCCTAAAAAGAAAAACACACACAACCAATTAGTTAAATTTCATTTATAATTTTGCGCTTTGTTGTCAATATTTATCACTGGTGACAATTATGGGCAGTCTTTAGCAAACTAACGTTTATTGTTAACACTAATCATTTTGCAAATTTTTCGTCTTTCACTATTGTTTGGTTGATTATCAGTTTTGCAAATTAATTTTTACGATTGCATAGATTTTAAAAGATTTTTTACAGAAATTTTACATACTTTAGCGTCTTTATTGGAGCAGTCACCGGAAAGAAAGGAAAATCGAGTTGACAGCTGTCATTGTGATGACATTTAAGATGTTTGCTATACTCTGGTAGGTGGCGCCCTCGGCAACATGGTTGTATTTCTGTTTCTAATGCTAACTAAACACGGCTTCTGGCGCTAAGGGCTGCTCACATGAATAGTTTACATAATACCTTGTGCTAAAAAAAATAAAAATGAATTAAAAAAGTATTTAGTTACATATATTAATTTAATTATATTCCTGTCATTTTGTCATGACAGGACATATTTTTTTACAGTTTTTGGAGAGAACAAACAAATTTCTTGGCATTTGAGTCAAAGTATGTTTTTTTTTTTAGTAAATTTTGTAGGTACAAGCATGGTACAATAAAAAGGTAAGGTAGAGCTCCCAGCTAATTACAATTTTTTCTAATTTTCCAATTTTGTATATGTATTTATTGTTTTGAAAAATAAAAACAGAATATTTTCAAAATCAATGACTGAAGACGAGTTCATTGCGGGACGCGCATTAAAGCTTTTTGCCAGTTTTCAATGGAATTGAAGATAGAACTGTTTAGATTATATTTTTGAAAGAAAATCCAGGCATATAATTCATTTGATTCATCTGATTCTAAAAATGAGGGAAAATATTGAATAAATTAAAACTTGTTGCGTGGATATTTTTTAAAATCTGTTGGAAATAAAATTTCTTTTTTTGATTGAAAGGTATAAGTACATAAGCAGCTTGGCAGGCATATTAATGTCAAATGTTAACAAAAAACTAAGGCAGAATTCGAGTCCGGTCATGGTAAAAGAATGCAGGTATATGCATCATCGCTTGGGAACATTGATATGTGAAATTTTTAAAAATATTTCTTCAAATGTAAGTAGATTTTTATATGCTTCCTTATTCGACGTCAATCAGTTTGTTATGATAGGCATTTTACATCAGTTTTAACGAATTTGAATAAACTTTAATTTAACATTTTGAATTTCAAAATTATTTTGACAGGTCATTGTCCCAGCAGCTGTGTCGATGCGACTACCTATATTCTTTGGCTTTCCCTTTATGATATGTCACAAAATATGTCATGCAAAGATTACAAGCTGCTTATGTATACACATCTTTAGTCCTATCGATATTTTAAAAACCGTGGTTTTCTTTTATTTTTCGCTGATTTCTCTTAAATTAAAATATTGTGAAAAAGTGTCAAAACACAAAATAAATTGTTCCATTCGTTATTTGTAAATTTCGAGCTGCAATGCTTTAGATTCGGAGCTGTGTTTTTCTCATTTAATCAATCTGTCTTGTAGGTATTGTGTCCTGGGCCTCAATTCTTGTTCTTTGAAAATGTGAAATGAAAACTTTTATAAAGGAAAGAAATGTCAAATGAAAAATTTTATAAAGGAAATATGTTTCATTTCCTATTTTCATAGAAGAAGAATCCAGTCCATGGTATGTAAATTCTGTATAAGACATATAATAAATCCGATCATAGGAACATATATATTTTGTGTGGTAAATCCGCATATTTTTGTGTGGTTATATTTGACCAATCGCCATTAATCAATGTTATAAATGCGCTTAAATCATTCTTCGTTAAAGAACAGTGGAGTTTTGGGTGGCTATTTCGGCCCATAATGTATACTTTTTCACCCTACGTTACTTTGTTCTTATCAATATTGTGGAGAAACCCAATGTAGTAATTTGTGAAAAAAGTAAAATAAACAAACCAATTCTTGCATATTTAGAAACATATTTGACACTATAAGACTCCGGTACAGATTTGCATTTTCTTGTTTCTTCGAAGTTGGACAACTTTTCTTATTGATCCATGCGTGGAGGTAGCTTCTGTAATTGTGCCACAGGTAAGCCTGTAATATGTGAGTTCATCAATTGTTTCATACGAACTATAAGTTTATCAATTGTTCCATACGAACCATGGTAGAAAGATACAGGTAGATGCATCAAAGCTGGGGAACACTTAAATGTAAATGTAAAATAATGTTCTATCAAAGATAAAAGTACGTTTATATATATGAGGGTTAACCCACTGGATTTGGATTTAAATTGTCATATCCATTACTTTTACTTCAAATAAATCCTCTCAAAGTAGGTTAACCCTACAAACAGTTCTAACGTAAACATGGCATAAGTAAATTTCTATAAGTTTTCTTATACGACGTCAGTCAAATTTAAATAATTTTTCATTCAACATTTTCAATTCCAAAATTGGTTTGACAGTTCATTGTCTCAGCAGCTGTGTCGATACATCTACCTATATTCTAATAGCCTCCGACTGACGTAGTATAAGAAAACATATAAAAATCTACTTATATTAAAAAAAAAAACATTTAATTTTTTTTGACATATTCTTCTGCCATGATATGAACTATGAGTCTATCAAATGTTTCATACGAGCTAAGAGAACTGGCTCTTTTTCTATCGGTGAATATTTTTTCTGAACCATTTCATCGGAACGTAGTGAGGGTTTGTTTACTTTCATTTCTTAGCTGGAAGTGGTACAAAGTCTTTCCAGGATTAAAGGATTAATAAAGAATAAATATTACAAGATGATACATACAATTTGAAACAGGTGTGTTAAGATTGTCCCACATTAAAGGAAACAAACAAACATAGCAAAGGTATTGTGTCAGTCGAATAAAAATGTGACTTCTATGACAAAGTGATTTCAGATGAAAGATAATGAATTGATTGTTGTCGGCAATGGCCAAGGACCGTGAATATTATAGTTCTCTTAATCGCATTCATGCTAAGTTTGTTGCACAACATAGTTAAAGGAAGCATAAGTTTTAAATAACTCATATATTGCCATGGAGCCACTTCTCTGAGTTTCATCCATACAAAAAATGCATCGCAGAACTGCCCACGTTGTGTGCTTCAAAGAGACGATCGAAATAATATAAATGCACCCAATCACAATTATCCCTAAAATATATAATATTTGAGGACAACGCATGCAGACCATCCTGCGCTGTTTGGAAGCACATTAGGAAGCTAAAGTCATATATTGTGCCCAGCTCAGAATTAGCATGCTTGAAAACTATTATAAGGGTATAGCTTGGTTAAATTTCTCTTAAGTTTTTTCTTCTAATCGTTATTTTGACTAAAACACTATATATGAACATATCGTTATTATATTGCAAACAAGTTGGGATTTTACATTACACCTCTTGTTTTAGGTAATTCGAATTTGTTGAATTGCATTGAGTTCTAATAGATTGTTATGGACGTCTGCTATGTGTTCGTTAATATATAAAAACAACACATTTTTTAAATGTTCCCTCATCCTTTAACAAAATAGATTTTCAAAAAAGCACTGTAAATATATTGTGGCTTGTTCGTTTTTAAGTCCATAATACTGACAGATAATTTACAGTTTTACATTTTGTACACATTACCGACTCGGAAACTGAAATATTAATAATAGTGACTTCTGATTCAAAATATTTTTGTGGGTCCGACAAGTTATTTTTATAGTATTACTTCTATATTATTATTTAGTCCTAATACTTGTATCTACTAAAATATCTAATTAAATCATGACAAATGTGCAACAAATATTTTTGTGCTTGCAGCCTGAACATACATCGAAATCGAACAAATGTATAAAAATCATGAATAGCTTATTGCATTGTCCAGCGCGTTTCTCTGGTGCCTACAACAGACAGGAGGTACAACAATTTATTAAATTCATAAAAGCCTATAAAGACGTAAAGTGCATAACGGATGAGCAGGCATTATTGGAATTTAATTATATTTTGACAGATAATGCTTTCAGATGGTGGTTGAAAACAAAAAGTACAATTTCAACATGGTCTGAAGCTCTGTATGCTTTGGAAAATCAATATTCAAATGAAAGACCTAACCACGTCATATACAGTAATATGTTTGAATTAAGCAGGAAGGACAGAAATAATATGGACGATATCATTGGTGACCAATATGAGCTCATGGAGGAATTGACAAATCTGCCCCTTGTGAATGAGCAACACAAACTAGAGTTCATATATGGTATGCTGCCTAATAGACTGCAGACGATGACGAAATTTACTGCAACATCTTTAGACGCATTCAAAGAAAACTTAAGAAAAGAAAACAATGGCTTGTATAAAACCGATGTTCAAATGGAACCTACAGAAACAAACATCGTCGCATTTTCATATAAACGCCAAGAACAAGATTGTAATGTTTCGAAACACGTTACAGAAGCTGAGCTAATGACTTTGGTTTTATCCGAACCATTACACAGCGTTATAGCTGACACTGCAAATACAGAAAATCATCAAAACCTCCAAATTATTTCTGTAAGATCGGCTGTTGACATTTTCGAAGATTATCAAAATATACAACGTAAAGAAGTCGTAAATTCAAACGAGAATCCAGGAAATTCAAATAAAAAAAATCGTAACAAAAGACCACGTTGCAAATTTTGTCGCGGTCGTACGCACACGGTGGAAAGATGCTTAAAGCTAATTGCAAGAAATCTCAAAAGACAACTAAGTCAAGAAACCGAAAAGAATAAGAAAGGTGAGACTGGGTATTAAAGAGTTTAAAGACTGGGATTTATTTTGTTTCATTTTCAAGACTTCCTATAATATTTGGTCTGTTCCAGAACTGCAAGAATGTAAACGTTTTTACTACGATAACCTATTATTTCCTTATGCTATGGGAAAATAATGCAAGACTAGTAGATTCTTGCAGGTTCTGCTACAGAGCAATTATAATTCTTTGTGTGCATATTCTGTGAAAGTATTTATTTCAATTCAATTGAATTACCAGCCTGAACATTTTTTTCGAATCAGGTTATTTTATATTGCTTTAAAGTAGTCAGAAACTGATGAACTCGACAGCATATGTTTAAGCATTATTACGACATTGTAAAACACAAGTGGAAATTTGTTAATTTTGCAGACACATTGGCCACTGAAACAATATAGAAGACCTTCGAGGAAAAACAACAGGGACAACTATATATCGGAATCGGAAATTAATTTCTATCAATTTCCAGAAAAAAAAAACTTGCGAAGTATGTGGAGCCACCTGATAAAAAAGTGCGCATCAGAGAATATCATTACACAAGATATGTCAAGTGGAGTAAATCATCCAGCATATAATCGTTATCGTCATTAGCCAACTGGAAAAAAATCGTAAAAACAGCTTTTTGACAAGCCAAATATCAGAAACAGTTGCAGAAAATCTAAAGTATGCCATTGCCAACAGGATAGACTGGATAAAATCGAACATATACAATACTTTGTGAATTTATGGCACATTTTTTAAATCAATCCTGTGACATAATTATTATACATATATTTATTAGAATGTGTTATTTTAATGAATTCATTAACATTTCTCCAGTATATACGAATATATTCTGACATTATATAAAATATTACTGTCGTCAATTGTTTTATCTTGAACGAAATGAGAAACATGCACTGCAATACCTTTGCTATTACAAAACCTAACTAAATTATTTTTTTCACATTTTTATTGAATTTAATTTTTATTACTCCCATAGACATAAAACTTTTACATGATCAAAAATAAAATGGAATCCAAGCTGAATTTGAATGCCATTATTAATAACATATTATGCAAATACAACACGTTATTAGACTGTCCAGTAAAATTTTGTGGCGATTATGGTGGGCAGAAGATACAACAATTTATCGAATATATAGAGTCATATAAAAAAATAAAATCTATATCGGACGAACAAGCTCTAGGTGAATTGGGTTATTTGTTAACTGAGCATGCCCACTCTTGGTGGCAACGAAGAAAAAGCCATTTTACTACATGGTCTGAGGCTCTGACTGCTTTGCACAATCAATATGGTCGCCAAAGGCCGGCATTTTTAGTTTATAAAGATATATTTGAGCATAAATATGAAGATTACGCCATGGAAACAGAATTCATAGACGATAAGTATGAATTATTAACTGAATTATCTGATCCAAAGCAAAGTGAAAAGAATAAATTTGATATGATTTTCGCATTGTTACCCAAAGAAGTTCAAACAAAACTAGAATATGGAAGTATTACAAGTGTAAGCGAATTAAGGCAAGAAATATTAAAGTTAAAATTAAAAGAGAGTAATGAAACAAATGTTACAACAGCAAATTCAAGCGAAAATAGTAACCTTGTCAATGGTGTGCACGATATTGAGCCTAAAGAAGAAAACATTAGCTGTGTGTCGCAGACTGACACAGTACAAAAAGATATCGATCCAAATGAATGTGGCGAGGTAGTGCCAGCAACAACTTGTATAGTCAACGATAAGGATCCCGTGATTAAGGTCAGACGTACGGAAGATCTGATGCCACCACTTGTTAAAAAAGAGAGTAATAACGAGGACGATACTACTATGGCTGGACCACAAGAAGAATTTATAGCAATTAATCAAACATCAACAACACATGATAATGTTAATTTTCAAATAGACATCGATATTATGGACCAGATCAATACAATCATAGACGAATCAGAAATGAACTGTGAAAGTAACCATAGTGGACATAATTCCCCAATTATGTCTGTACAGGAGAGTTCAAGTCCAACCGTTGGTTTTTTACTCAACGGAGAAACCACTATTCACGCAGAAGTTTCAAAGAAACCCCATCCGGCTGTCTCCGCTGGGGGTCGCCCAACTATACGTAAAATGAAACTACGTTGTACTTATTGTCGCAAATACAATCACATAGCGCAAGATTGTATTAAGAGAACTAGACACATGCAACTATTTCCGGAAAAATTTCTACCAACTTCCAAAATATCTGGGGATGAAATTAAGGGCAACAAGGAGATAAGTTCTAAAAGTAACAATGACGTGAATGTTCTGCCCTTATCCAACGAAAGTACGTCTACAGCATATTCTACATCAAATGCATTCACCAACGTGCCTACCTCATTAACGTATACTGTGACTAGTACAGCCACTATGGTATCTCCCACAATTACCACTACTGTTGCTGCAACATCTATTCCCACCGTCACACAAAATAATGTATCAATGTCTCAAGCTACATCTCACATCACCATAATGACCTCGAACCCGCCAACTCCCACAGCATCATTAACCACCAAGCTGATAGCACCAATAAATGGTCCGTGCCCAAGTAAACTATTAGCTGCCAAACTTCGAAATAGCAATACACCCTCATCCCGATGCCATCAGTGTGGGACGGCTGGTTTTTACAAAAGTATTTGCCCCAATTGCAGTCCTATATATAATTGCAATCAACAGTATAAATAATGTCTTATCCACTAGTAGTTATTGAAAAAATTGGCAGGGCCTTATACAAATGTATTTTTAAAATTTACAAATCTGTAATCAAGATTTATTATGTCGAAGATAAAGAGTGAATATAAATTTTATAAATGTTATTTAATTGTTTTGTATTTTTCGTATGCGATCTGTTAAATTAGAAATAAAAAATTGTATACATTTTGTAAAAGTCAAGGTGTTATTAAATAAATCGGAAGTATTAAGTAGAAAATGGATAAGTTTAAAGTTAGGGGTTCCTTTTATGCCTTCTTTAAAAATTACACAAACTAAATCGGAAGTACTAAATAGAAAATGGATAAGTGTGAAGTTAAGGGGTTCTATTAATGTGTGCTTCAAAAATTACACAAACCCGAATTTTCAAATTATTTCATATGCAAATACACATAATATTTAAATACCTAATAAGTCATTGTTTCGTAATGAATATTAATAACAAAACTTATATTTGCGCAAAGTTGATGTTATAAATGTTATGGCGGTTATACCATTTTGCATCCGTATGACAATGATAAATAGCATCCACGCCTGCGAATCTGGAAAGTGATCACTAGGAAAAATTTTATTGCAAATTATAAAATTGAAATATTCAAACATTATATTAAAATATTCTAATTGTTTTTAAATAGTCAACATCTATTATGTAGCTATATATTTAACTATATTTAAAAGTAGGCTTCGTGTAAAGGCTAAAAGGAGTAGAAAATCGAGCGCATTCTATTTTTCGTTGTAGCTCGAATAAGATAGAGCATGTTTTGCTTGTTTCATAGTGAGAGCACACTTTTAGAACACTCTTTTATTTCCTGATAATCCGTTGTTGAATATGTATGCATGTGTATTTCCTCAAAACACAATAAAGTAATTGGAATTTACATTAGTGACTTACTGAGGATTTACAAATTCTTACTGAGACATTAAGTTAGAAAAAATGATCGAGTTGTCCAACAGACCTATTGTCATATTTTTGTCTACAGAAGTACTACTAAAACTACCATTTTTATACTCTACACCACATAGTGGTAAGGGTATTATGTCTTATTGAGATGAAATTTTGCAAACAATATTTGGTGAAATTGGTGAGAATCGGTTCAAATTTAGATATAGCTTCTAAATATATCATCAACCGATTTCGGCCAATATCCCCAAATGTTCAAATACCTCTGTCAAATTTTATCGAGATCGGATCACATTGTGATATAGCTCCCATATATATACAGGGTGATATTAAAAAACTGCAACCAACTTCAGACTGCTTTTATTTCTAAGCCAATCGCCCGACCGCTGTTACAATTATTCCAGTGACAGCTCATTATATTGTTTCTAGCGTACAAAAGCACTTTGGTGAGAATTTTCCAAAAAAAAAGTTATTCGTAATTGAATTCAAGCGTGATAGTGTGCTTTCTTTATATTTGGCTGGAAAACCACAAGTGGCTATCGTTAGAGCACTCCAACATTTAAATGTGAATAAATCTATTGTGTTTCGTACCATCGCTCGTTACAGTGATACTGGTAGCGTAGCCCGACGTAAAAGAAGTGGACAGAAGAAAACAGCAACATCAGCAGAAATGGTTCGAAAAGTAAAGAAGCGACTTGATCGATACCCGCGTCGTAGTGGCAGAAAAATGGCTCGTGAGCTGAACATATCGCAATATTCCATTCGCCAAATATTGAAAAAAGAGCTCGGAGTAAAGCCATTGAAATTCCAAAAAGTGCAAGAACTTACACCGCAACAGAACGAAAATAGACTCAAAAGAGCTAAAAAGTTGATTCGCTGGCCAAAAGTGGTGAACTGCCGAATTTTGTTTTCTCCAATGAGAAAACATTCGTTGTCCAGCAGTTTGTAAACAAACAAAATGATAGTGTTTATTTGCCAAAGAAGTCAGCGGAAAATGTGCACTTTCGGTTGGCCACTAAAACTCAAGCGCCGGCCATAGCGATGGTGTGGGCCGCCATAACAGCCGATGGTCGTGACATCATAATATCATCATCATAATAAATGCCGAATATTATCGCGAAAATATGAGGAAAATGATAATTTGGAATTTTCGCTTGAAATCATCGTGTTCAAATAAGTGTTTACAATTTTGTCGAGATCGGTTCAGATTTGGATATAGCTCCCATGTATATCTTTATCCGAGTTCAGGTTTTTTTGTGCACCAAATGGCTAATATCAGCCCAAAGGGCAGAATTGGGCGAAAATCGGTTCAGATATAGCTATAGCTCCCATATATATGTTTCATCCAATTTTTTGTTAAAGTCACTCATATGCATAATATGCACTCCTCAACAATGATATTTGATAACGGGCATGAGATACTGCTATAAAATACCTCTGCCAAACTTTATCGAGATTGGTTCAGATTTTTTATAGCTTCGATTAACATCTTCATCCGATTTTAAGGTTACTGCTAACCCTATATGCAATATCAGCCCAAATAGAATAAATTTTTTCATATTCAACCGAATTTACGAAACCCGGTCCGGTATATCTATTGCTCCAATAAATATTTCTTAATTTAATCCTTATCGAAGTCGTATCATGCACTATACAGCAATGTTATTTGGATCATAGTTGGTATGACCTACTTCACTTAAATTCCCAATATATTATTTTTACGGAAGCTGTACTAAATATGCATGGTGGTGTTGGGTATTATATATTCGGCCCCGCCCGACTTTTGACCTTTCCTTACTGGTTTAGAATGGAGATTTTCTTTTTCCAGCTAAAAGTCTTGCAAGTTCCCGGATTTTCTATAGTACATACACCAACAAAATGTTACACGTTCATTCATATGGACACAGGCCTTAAATCCAACGTTTAATGAATATTACAATATTTTATCTGTTTAATAAATATTCATATATATTTAGATTATTGCCTACTTTTGATACGCTCGTAATCAATACGAAGATAACAATATCAAGAATATATAACTTGGTTTGTAATAAATTAAAATGTATGTTTTTTTTTAAATTCTTTGGGACGTTATTTGATGTATTTTCTAGCCAATTTATTTTGGTAGGGATTTTATGAGTTTAGGAGACTAGATGAATGACGGTAGTGAAATTAAGCCTTGGCAACTGTTTCAGCAGCTGTGGTCTCAGCGGGAACTGGTTCGGGGGCAACTGTGGTGGTTGGTTCGATTTTCTTGGGTGCTGGTTTGGTTTCACCACGACCGAAGATGGCCTTTTCAATGCCCAAAATGGGAGATTCAAAGGCCAAAGTGGCAAAGATTGAAGCGCACAAAGTAATACCGAAATCGTGCCACCAACGGAGAACCTAAAAGGAAATATAACAGAGACAATCATTAGTTTACATTTTAGCTATGCAGAAAGTTGCAATACGAACCATATCGTAATCAGAGAAGTGAGTGTCGGTTTGTAAGCGACCAGCAGTGACCCATTGGACAATTCTGTGGATAACATACATGCAGTAGGTCAAGCGACTGAAACCGGTGAAGAATCCCCAGGACAAGAAGTCATTGATAATGCCACCATGACCGTTATAACAGGCCCATACAATCCAGCCAATGGCACAAGCCCACGAGGCACGGGACAAGGGTTCATAGAAGGCACCTTCAATAATGGGAGCATCGGGGTTTTCGGGCAAAATGCGCCAGTATGGACCCCACAAATCGGTAAGCATAACACCGAGAGCCAAAACCCAGCCAGTGATAACCCAACCCTTCTTCAATGGTATTTGACGGCCGCGATTCTTGGTGAACAAGAAGTAACCGAAGAGTACACCCATCAACCATGTTGGAATACGGGTATGTGTTGGATAGTAGGTAAGACGTTGACGTAAATCGACTTGATTATCATCGACACGGAAGAGAGTGAAGTTGTTGTGCATGAACGTGGCAAACGTACAACCCATGCAGAGGACACCGAATACAGCGATGGGTGCAACAGCCTTCTTACCCCACTTCCACAGGGGAATGAGGAAAAGTGGTGACAGCACATACAGCTGAGTATCGACGGCCAAATACCAAGACTGACTGATGCACTAAAAAGTGATAATGGAAACAAAATAGGGTTAGACGATATAATTTTCATATATATAGAGGTGTGTGTGACAATTTTACTTACAATGCTGTAGGGGAAAGCATAGTTTTGGACATACAACAATGTAGCCCACCATGATTCTTCGCAACGTTTGTCCTGAGTACCGAGTTTCATCCACATGGGACCGGCACCAGAGTATTTGTACAAGGACATAATGTACAAAACAACGACGGCAACAACAGGGGTCAAACGAATGTAACGATGGAAGTACATGAGTTTAATGTCCAATTTACCCTTGCTGTGGATGAAATACAAATATTAAAAAAAAATATTAATATTTGGTCAGGGACGATCTTGATCAAGATTTTTGAAACGATCAAGATATATGAAACACCTGAGATTAAGATGTTTCCTAATAACATTAATAATAATAATCTTAATAATAATAGCTTTGTACGATTAAAAACCAGCTCTTTTGTGAGAGATGTGAATATCAGGCAATAATTTGATTATTTTAGTTATTTTTCAGATGGTATTGATTTTTACTATAAATATCGTATCAACTTACGTCTTTTCCATTTCACGGAAGGCACCCCACAACATCAACAGACCGGACATGAAGAAGAAAGTATCTACACAAAGTGTAGCATTTTGTACCAACATAGAGTAAGGAGTTTGGGTCCACTGTAATAACAAACAAATCATGCATATTAATTTAATTTGTATCGAAAAAAATTCTCAAAACTCAAATCCATTGACTTACAGTGTAGAATTTGTTCCTATTGATATGGGGCAAATCGTAGAAGGTCATATAACCATGACCGAATACGACCCACATCATGGAGAAGCAACGCAAGCCGTTAAGACAGTGGATAACATTGGGGTTATTGACCTTCTTAACAGTGAAGATTTTGGGGGCGTTGGTAAGGACGGAGAAGGACAGGTACAATGGGGATTTGGGTTCTGTGAAACAAAAGTATGAAATTATTAACAAATTTTTGTTTACTTTTTGTCAAGGCATTTTTCTTACCTCCTTTCTTGGTCTTAACATAATCATAAATGGAACTGGCCAACATACAGAAAATAATGAATGCAAAGAAGATACTATAAGGGAGAAGCAAATTATTATAGTCATTAATCTTTTCATAATCCATGTTAAAATAATCAAACTTACATGGCAAAGATATCAATACCACGCAAGGTAATTGGTTCATCGATGTCACAGTACTTCTCACTGACCAAGTCGCCTTGAACATCTTGATTGTAGAATTTCTTAATGACCCGTTTTAAGATTACATTGGCCTTGGCCGGTGAGCAGGAAGCTGGCACACAAATACCCAATTCAAAGTTTTCAGGGTCCTTGTATTTGTAACTGATGGCACGACTTTGGGCATCGTCCTTTTCGATCTTCTTATAGTAATTCTTAATGGGGATTTTGGTCAAACAATATTGACCACGAATTGCTTCTTCAGCGGCAAATTGACGATTAATTTCAATACATTCTTCATATTGACCCATACTGATGGTGTGACCGGCCAACAGACCCATGGGCAAACGACCCCAACTGTCGGGGACTGGAAAGGAGAATAAAAAATAGAATTGTTATATAGATTGTTTATTTTTTTTTTACAATTTATTCCGAAATATCGGGGGTCTATGTATATAAAACAAACGTATAAACCGCAACAATTTTCCTAACCATAAGAGAAGAGGTACTAACCGCAAGCAATGCTGCGGGATCTTCCTGTAACAAGAACCATATGAGTATTGGGAGAGTACAGGAATGACAGACTCCTCAATATTATTGTGCCCGATCCCAAAAAATTATTCACCTGATTTTTGTACTCTCTGACTAGCAAATGAAAATCAAAATAAGTGACCATCAGTGTTCGTCCCTGCAATAAGGTACACATTTTTCATGACCGTAAAATTATATGGCCCACGTCAAAGCAAAGCCTTTTTATAAAGGTAGCTCCTGATTTTCGATCTCATAAATCTTTCATGCACAATTTGGGACCGAATGAACAGTGACTTAGCATTTGGGGTTCTCAGATTTGCCATATTTTTTGTTTTTGTAGAAATTTGACGTTTCATACTCTAAGAGGATATTTACTATTCCTTTAAAAAAAGTGTTCACTAAAGGTCCATTTTAAGGGTATCTACTGTTATTTGGTCTTTTGAAGGTTTCATCTCAGTTTTTTTATATCCTCCACCATATTATGGAGGGAATATTAAGTTTGTAATTCCGTTTGTAACACCTCGAAATATACATTTTAGACCCCCTAAAGTATATATATTATTGATCAGCATAAAATTCTATGTCGATTTAACGATGACCGTCTGTCTGCCTTTCCGTCTGTGGAAATCACACTAGCTTCCGAACGAATTGATGGTATAGCCCCCATATAACGGTACCTCCCTATTTTCGGTATTTTAATGATTTTAGCGACATTATTCACCGGAATTGTTTCAAATGTGGTATTTGAAGTTCGTAATGGATACTACAGCCAATGAGAGAAAATTGTCTATGCAGGTCCTCGTCTTCATACGATTTTAGCGACATTATTCACCAGAATTGTTTCAAATTTCGTCATGATAGTTTGTAATGGGTACTACAGCCTGTGACAGAAAATTGTCTGTGCTGGTCCACGTCTTCGTATAGCCCCCATATAACGGTACCTCCCTATTTTCGGTATTTTAATGATTTTAGCGACATTAATCACCGGAATTGTTTCAAATTTGGTATTTGAAGTCCGTAATGGATACTACACCCTACGAGAAAAATTGTCTGTGCAGGTCCTCGTCTTCATACAGCCCCCATATTACGGTATTTGTTATTTTGAAGTTCGTAATGGATACTACAGCCTGTGACAGAAAATTGTCTGTGCTGGTCCACGTCCCATATAACGGTACCTCCTGATATTCGGTATTTTGATGATTTTAGCGACATTATTTACGGGATTGTTTCAAAATTGGTATTTGAAGTTCGTAATGGGTACTACAGCCTTTTTTTCAAGTTTCGCATTTGTATATTGTAATGGCTTACGACAAAAGTTGCCTATGCAGGTCCACATTGTCAGATTTTAACAGAATTTTTAACGGATTTTTTCGTTCCAAATGGTGGAGGGTATTCAAAGTTCGCTCCGGGCGAACTTACAGCTTTTTTACTTGTTTTTTTTTTCGTTTGTAGCTGTAGGTTAATTAAATGCATGTTCATACAAACATAACATCTACACCACCACAATGTGGTCAGGGTATTATGTCTTTGTGCATTTGTTTGTAACAGGCAAAATGAAACGATACAGACCCATAGTTTCTTTTGATGATCTGTATAGAATTACATTTTTTGTAAACAAAGTACATATCGCATTAGTTGCCCGATCCAGATGAAGTTTTGCACAAATCATTTGTTTCACCCAAGGACGAATTATATTAAATTTGGTTTGATCGGTCAAAATTTAGATATTGCTGTAATATATATCTTCGTCTGATTTGTCTTTTAATGTGTACCAAATGTGTTTTAAGAACCCAAAATAATATACAATTTTGCACATACGACCAAATTAGGCCTGAAAATAAGTATACTAAATTTGATCGAAATCGGTTCAGATATACACCTATAGCACCCATATATATTGTTCATCCGATTTGTTATTTTTGTCGTCCACGGCCGTAATATGCACTCTGGAACTACGATATTTGGGGAAAAATATCAAGTACAGCTTAGAAATACGTTTGCTAAATTTTATCAGGATCGGTGCAGGTTTATATGGCTCCTATGCTCATTTTCGTCCAATGTGCCTTTTATTGTGCACTAAACGTGTAATTTTACCCCAAATGGGATGGATCCGATTTGTTATATTTATTCTCCACATCCGTAATATGCACTATCAAATATATGAAATACAGCAGAAATCGATTCAGAGGAGTGTATTCCTCTCATATATTAGTTCCTTTGGACTTGAAATGATAATTATAATCTTAGTTGGTATGATTAAATTCTCACAAATTCCACAGAAAAACTTTTATTTGTTATGTGAAGTTCTACTAAATATACAAAGTGGTGTAGGGTATCATAAAGCCCACCCGACTTTAAGACTTTCTTAACTGTTTAATTTTTGCAATTTAACAAAAAAAAGTAAAATACCTTGTAATTAAGAGGGTTGTATTGAGAAAATATTCTTTTTTTCTCTCCTCTTCTTTTCTTTTTATGTCTGAACAGGACTACTTTTTTTTTGAATTTTAATTTCAATGATGCAAGTTATTTGTTACATAATTGTCATTTTTAACCCATAAATTGACATATTCTTTGCTAAGGATGGGTAACTATGTTAGTTTTGGCGTATACCAACAAAAAAATTCAATATCACTGATACGCACTCATGTCCCCAATAGAGTCTTGCAAAGTGTGCACATTTCAATGACATTAGTACATTATTAAATTTCACTAACCTTTAAATTGCTTTCAAAGCTAAACATACAAATCTATTATTGTTGGCTGATAAGATTTGCGATTTTGATTAACCAATATACTTTTTGGAAATTCCATGTTTTTTCGTCAGGTGTTATTAAAATAGCCAATAAATCATGACATTCTATTGTTCCGACACATCGCTACCGTTTCACGTAAATCCATAAACTAATCAGATATTATTTGTTATCGCTCAATAAAATCAATTTAACATTCTAAAGTTCAATACAAAAAAAAAAAATAAGTAGCAATGCTTTAAAGATTACCCACAAAGCTAAGATGTGATGAGGGGTTAATTTTATATTTCTTTTTTTATGGAAGTTTTTCAATGTTGAAATTTGATTGGATGGTTGTCAATGATTTGATAAAGAAATAATATACGTACGAATATATCCCATCAGCATATTTATCTTATCGCTGAAATGATTTAAAATCTCTTTTTACGATGACGTTTATGTTGGCAAAATTTGCGATTTACAATCGAGATTATTAAGCGATTATTGTGATTTGTTTTGTAACACTAAAATGAGATATTATGTAGTGCTTTTTTTTAAATTTGTAACATTTAGAAAAAAGATGACATTGAAATATCAGTTGATTTTTTTGGAAACTGTTGCCGAAAACTTCAAAAAATTGAAAATCAGAGGGATCCAAAATATGGGTATATTTAAAGAATGAAATATCAAATTACAGCAGATTAATTTGGAAATTGGGGCCGAAAACTTAAAATACCGAAAACTAGAAGATATAGTTATACGGGTGCTGTATCAAAAAGTTTAATGTAGCATTACATACCGATGGATTTAAGAACGATTTAAAACGGGTACGTATTCTAAACAAGGAATTCCCATTCCAGAAAAAAATTCTCCACTCGGAAAATAATTCTTAAAATAAACAAATAAATTGCGATAATGGCGCACCCTGTGTTTTCTATTTGCTGTGCAAATTGACGTTCGAAGTTATTTTTTTTATAAAAACAAAGAAATAACAATTTCAAATATTAGAATTAGAATAAATGTTGGATGTTGATAAGTCTGTGAAGCATCATAGGAATTTGAAAATACAATTATAAATGTCAATAATGTTTTTTTTTAAATCAATTGCTCAATTGTGGGATTATAAGTTATAAATAACGTTGTTGTTGTATATTGTTGACCTGTTATATTTATTTTACTTATTTGGTTCATTGTTTGGCATAAGGTCATTAAAAACTATGTTTTTTTATTTTTCCTTTTTTATTCCTCCAATTTCCGGAAACCATCTTCAGGGATATTTTAAAGTAAAAGCTCGTCTATTCAGTTTAAATGTCACTATCAAACTTATTATAAATAACACTGGGCGACAAAATGCATTTTTTCGATAATTAAAGGAAAGATACAGCAGATTATGAAAGTAGAGATAAAAATAGAAAGACACGCGTATAGGTGTTTGGAAGTTTATATCGCAAATTAACCAAAATGGAGGGGGAAAGATCCCCCCTCCTGTCGTTTTTTTTATTTTTTTTTGCAATGTTATTACAAAAACAATGTGAGAATTATTTTGAGTCACCAATAGGTGTTTTTGGTCCTTTTCTGAATAAAATCGTTAAAATCATCAAAATACCGAAGATTGGGAGGTACAGATATATGGGGGCTATACGAAGACCTAGACCTGCATAGACAATTTTCTGTCATGCACTGTAACACCTATTAGGAAATTTAAACGAAATATGAAACAATTCCGGTGAATGATGTCGCTAAAATCCACCAAAATACCGTAATATGGGGGCTATACGAAGACGTAGATCTGTATAGCCAATTTTCTGTCATAGACTGTAGTACCTAATAGGAAATTCAAACACAAAATATGAAACAATTCCGGTGAATAATGTAGGTAAAATTATCAAAATATCGAATATAGGGATGTAAAATTTTATTACCTTACTTCAATTCTTTCGGAAGCTAGAGTGATTTCCACAGACGGAGAGACAGGACGGTCATCGTTAAATCGACATAGAATTTTATGATTTACAAGAATTTCGAGGTGTTACAAACGGAATGACAAACTTAATATACCCTCTATACTATGGTGCAGGATATAAAAATTATTTTGGTTCAAATTTCAATGTGAGTCTCTAAATAAAATAAATTTATATATTTCATGAGCACCATAAAAATATTATCAGTAGTAGAATTTCAGAACAAATAAATTTGTAGAATAGAGCAATTTTTCAAACATATTTAAAAAAGGACCGAAATAACCCCTTGAGGCTTAAAATTAGTGATCAAAATAGTGGTCGCATTTTTATCTGCAATATTGCCGAAGATATTATATATCTAGAATATAAGGACTTCAAGAAATCTCAATCCGAAAATTTCACCAAAATGTGTTGGTGTGCGAATTTGTCGCCTATATTTTGGTTACTTTAAGAAGTTAAAATTCAAAACGCCTCTGCAAGTGTCTAGTTTTATAATATGCTGCATTTTTCCAGTAATTTTTTTTTTGTGTTGCACTGTCTTATTAAAAAAAAACTCTGCAAAGCTTTATAACAAATTGAAAATATGTGTTGCATTTACTTTTTCCAAAATTGTTCGAAAAAATCACTTCTATCAAAAAATTGTATGCAACAAAAAATGGTTGCCTTTATATATTGTTTTTTTTTTTTTCTTTTTTAGAAATATTTTAATATCCTTGCAAACTTCCTTTCGTAGATATGGTAATTCGTGGGATTTTGAGTTTTGACAACAATTTGGAAATAAACAAAAAAGTTTTTACACTATTGCGATTTGTCTTTCATTGTAATTCAAATCTAAATTAAGTATTTAGACAGCAAAATAAGTAATCACATGAGCTTACTGGCCGTCCTTATATAGGTCTTTTATCTGACAGACAGACATCAATAAATTTGGCTTCCATGGAACAGGTCAGAAGTTGATCCTCTTCCATGAATATGAGATTTTATCGGGGAAAGTTTTTTTGGACATTAAAATTGTTTGTAATATACAAAAAAATTGGTCCTTTTCACTAAGAAAATCTGGCTCATGGCACTCAATATATAATCCGATAACCATTTACGGTTCAGGGGCTCTTCCCACTCCTAAAGGCAATCCACACGTCACATTTATTATTTTTTCTTTTTTTTTTTACTAAAGACTGTCTTTTATGATTTATCCACTAGAATATCGGGGTTTTCCTTTCTGGTAAAAAGAAACAAATGCTTACATTTAAGGGCCCATTCGTTGTAGCTCCTCATTCCGGCCAAGACACGGTCAATATCTTTGGTGCACTGATCATCGTCGTATTTTCTGGCCGATTCACTTGTGGCTGTTACATTTCTCAAATCATAACTTAGTTCCGAGCCAATATCGAAAAATTGGAAAGCAATATCACTTTGGAAGGGACTAGAGGGCACAGACAGCAGTGTATTCGATGAGTCCTCGGCAAATGTAGCACTGGTAAGCACTAAAAGTGCTAACGACACACCCGTTAGGATATGCCGAACCATTCTCTGTGTTTGTGTGTGTGTCGTCGTATTCGTTAAACCGTTTTTAACACTCTTAGAGCGTCGCACCGTTACAAACTAGTTGGGCTATAGAAATAACAAGTAGCTTTTATAGCCCGCAGATATGGATTGTGATTATCACAGAAGCAACAACAATTTGGCCTATGGTTTATCACACCCTCACACATACGAACGCTGCAGAGAGTTTTCACTGACCATAGGAAGTTTTGTTGTTCTGTTTTTTTGTTATTTTTGCAAAATTTTAAATCTAGGAGTAGCTATATAAATGTGAGTGATTTTTAAATTGATAAGAAAGTTAAGCTAATCAGAGAAAATGGTTGTTGTGTGTATAGAATGGATAGCGTTAAGAAGTTTTGGTTTCGTGTGTTCGGTAAGGTAACACATGCGAGAGTTTTGAAACGCATTCACACTGAACACAATTGTAACAGGTACATAGCAGAGGTTCAATACATAAATTACACAACACAGAATAATAGACAATGAAATAGGATATACGAAGGAGGAAGACGTGGTTTGAAAAAACTTGTAAAAGGTTTTGAGCTTTGTCGTGTTTTGAGACCAAAACTGAGAGCGATCAGAGAGACAAATTTTAAACAGAAAAGCTGCTAAGAGTTTGCAAAATCTTACTGGAAAAATTTATTCAGCAAGAATAATAAAAACCAGCTGTTTTGTGGCCGATGCAAAAATGTTTGCAAATGTTAGGCAATAATTTAATTATTTTAAGGTAATAAACATTTAACGTTCTATTATATCATTAAATAACTAATTTTCATATATCAATAATACTGCAACAAAGTCAAACGCCATAATTTTTTAAATAAATTTAAATTTTTTAAAATTTTAAAATTTTTAATTTTTTTAAATTTTATTGAATGAAAGCAAAAAATATCGAAAATAGCATAAAATTTTAGAATAAGTTTAGATTTGTTTGAATTTGTCACCTTTGGCACAGTCACACGCTGCTCGAATGTTGCTCTGTGGTATTTTGCCCCATTCCCGGCGAAGCGCTTGCTTGATGTGATCGACACTTTGGCATTTTTAGTGACAACCTTGATTTCCAAAATACTCCAGACACAATAGCCCAACGGATTGGTATCCGGAGATTGTGGTGGCCGTTGTGCGCTGGAAATGAAGTGAGGAATCTCATTTTGTAACCATTCTTGGGTGGCGCGTGCTAAGTGCGATGGTCTGAGTCCGGTTGGAATGTCCAAGGTCTGCGGCCAAAATATTTGCGTGCCTAAGGCTTTAATACATCCTCCAGAATATTTTTGCGATAATATTCGGCATTTATTCTGATGCCACGGTCGATTAATACGAGCGGAGAGCGACCATCGGCTGTTATGCCGGCCCACACCATCACCATGGCCGGCGCTTAAGTTCTGGTGGTCGTCCGAAGGTGAAAGTGCTGACCTCTTTGGCAAGTAAAAGCGATCATTTTGTTTGTTTACAAACTGCTGGACAACGGAGAAAACCAAATTCGGCAGTTCACCACTTTCAGCCAAGCGAAACAACTCTTTAGCCTTTTTGAGTCTATTTTCTTTCTCTTGCGGTGTAAGTTCTTGCACTTTTTAGAATTTAAATGGCTTTAACCCGAGCTCATTTTTAAACATTTTCCGAATGGAATATTGCAATATATTCAGCTCGCGAGCCATTTTTCGGCCACTGCGACGCGGGTTTCGATCAAATCGCTTCTTTACTTTTACAACCAATTTTTCTGATGTTGCTATTTTCTTCCGTCCACTTCCTTGACGTCGGACTACGCTACCGGTAATGAGCGATGATGTGAGACACAAAAGATTCATTTACATTTAAATGCTGGAGTGCTCTAACGATAGCCACTTGTGGGTTTCCAGCCAAATATAAAGATATCACAGTATCACGCTTGAATTCCATCACCAATAACTTTTTTCTGGAAAATTCTCACCAAAATGCTTTTGTACGCTTGTAAACAATATAATGAGCTGTCACTGGAATAATTTTAACAGCTGTCGGAAGAGTGGCTTAGATATGATTGCTGTCTGAAGTTGGTTGCAGTTTTTTCATCTCACCCTGTATATACCTTTTATGCTTGTGTTCCAGCTCTTCTTTTTTAAATTTATTCTGAGATAAAACTTTTAAACAAAGTTTGCATTTTTTGTTCTGGAATACTTCGCATTCATTATCCATTTGAAATGAAATTCTGCATGGTTCATTTGTTCGATCTAAGCACAAATCCTATTTAAATTTGATGATAATCGATGTAAATTTAGATATAGCCCTCATATATATTTTCGTCTGATTTCAATTTTATTGTGCATCAAATGAGTAACTATTGTCCAAATTGAGTGCACATTCCTAAAAACGCGCATAATAGCCTAAAAACGCAATATAGCCCCCATATAACGGTACCTCCCTATATTCAGTATTTTGATGATTTTAGCGACATTATTCACAGGAATTGTTTCAAATTTGGTATTTGAAGTTCATAATGGATACCACAGCCTATGACAGAAATTTGTCCGTGCAGGTTCACGCCTTCGTATAGCCCCCATATAATGGTTCCTCCCTATATTTTGATGGTTATTCATCCAAAAGCATAATTGTTTTTTTTTTTTTTAATAAAAGGCAACTTAACGGTGCTTTTTAAAAGTAAACATTTGTTTGATATTTTTATTGTTGTTTACTTTAATGATGCGTTCAAATGTTATTGGTATTGTTTGAAGTGGAAGATTCCTATAAAACTGACTGACGTGAATTTTGTTTTGAAAAAAGTTACTAAAAATAATATTTTATTAGTTTTAGTTTTTTTTTTCACAGAAGATACGTTTCTAAAATTATAATTTTTTGTCCGATCAAGAAGAGATTCAAATTAACCATTTTCACGACCAAAGCTGTTCTAATAGAAAGATTGGACGTTAAATGTAATAAAACAAAAACAATAGACAAATAAAGAATAAATTACTTATTCCTGTAATATATTCCTGTAAAGGCTTGTATTCCTGTAAAGGCTTGCTTGAGGTGGTCGACACTTTGGTATTTTTTGTGCCAACCTTGCTTTCCAAAATACTCCAAATCAACGAGTCCTGTTGGAATGTCCAAAGTGTTTGGGTGACGAATATTTTATATATATATTTTGCGGAGTAAGTTCTTGCACATTTTGGAATTTCAATCGCTTTACCCCGATCTCATTTTTCAATATTTGCCGAATGGAATATTGCGACATGTTCAGCTCACGAGCCATTTTTCGACCACCGCGACGCGGGTTTCGATCACGTCGCTTCTTTACTTTTCGAACCATTTCTGCTGATGTTGCTGCTTTCTTCTGTCCACTTCCTTCACGTCGGGCTACGCTACCAGTATCACGATAATGAACGATGGTACGAGACACAAAAGATTTATTCAATGCTGGAGTACTCTAACGATCGCCACTTGTGGTTTTCCAGCCAAATATAAAGAAATCACACCATCACGCTTGAATTCCATCACGAATAACTGTCACTGGAATAATTTTAACAGCTGTCGGACGAATGGCTTAGAAATGACAACAGTCTGAAGTTGGTTGCAGTTTTTTCATCTCAGCCTGTAGAAAACATGTGGTGTAACCTGTCAAACAAAGAACAATTTAGGAAAATAAACTTATCAGTTAAAAAAATACAGAATTTTATTCAGGAAAAAAGATTCTGAATCGTTGTGCAACATAAACTTTCAAAATGTTATTTATTTACATCCCATACCATTGGTAAACCAAGTCAAATCCTACACTTTTTTCATTATTTTCGGTATGTATTGTAACCCTAATCAATTACTCTTTTATGTACTTTCAATATACGATTAACGAAATCTGTAATCTAATAAAAACCATTTATCTATGGCAAATAAATTGTTTTCGATATGTTTGGTATTAGCTATGGTACTTGGCGGTTTTGCCAAGCTCTTATCATGCGTACTTTCACGAGTATGTCATACTTTAGATTTACTTGTATTTGTCGTTGGCCACGGTTTATTATATACAAGGACATATTTAAATGGCTATGTGCCAAGAAGTGCTAAGTAATGTTGAGGGTGTCAAGTGGTTATAGCCATTGGATTCTTTATAAGAAAAAAAAAAACATTGATATTCCAACTATATCTTTGACAAGGAATTAATTAATTAATTAAAGGGAAAAGGATGGCAATATTGAGATTTGCCATGTCTGAATTTCGCGTTTTATGAGTAGTGGACTGATATATTCCATCTTCACACCAGACTATGGGTTAATGAAAATATTGTGATGTGTGTAATTTGGAGACAATCCGACTCCTACACTACATTTTATAAGATTTATAATTATTCAAAGTTTTTACCCTTTGTGGGGGAGGTACTTAATGGATTATACTCTTACACTACATTTTATAAGATTTATAATTATTCAAAGTTTTGACCCTTTGTGGGGGAGGTACTTAATGGATTATACTTGATGCAAATATTAGAATTTGCAAATTTGGAGCAAAATCGGTGAATCTTTTCTATTTTTGTGCAGTAAAATATTTTTTTTTTGAAAATTTCGACTTTTTGTGGGGGAGGTACCAGAAGGAGTGGACCGATATTGCCTATGTCTGAACTCGATCTAAGTTGGATAAAAATATTACAATGTACCAAGTTTGGGCAAAATTGGATACTCCATTCGAGAGTCAGACAGACGGAGTCACGGACATCGCTAGATCGACTCCAAATGCCCTTAAACGGATTTGATCCAAAGAGATCTAGGGTCCAAAACCGTTATTTCGACTAGGCACGTTTTGGCCGTATCAATCTAGCCATATGGCTGAGTATAAAAAACAACATTTTGACTTGTGGTACAAAAATGTCGAATGAAATTGTTATAAAAACTATTATACCTTTCTTCTTTCGAAAAAAGTCAGAGCAAAAGTTAATCAAAAAAAAAAAAAAACAAGTAAGAAAGTTATAAGTTCGACCCTCCGCAATTTGGAACGAATTTGGCAATTTTCAAAAAAAAAAAAAAAAAATCCGTTAAAAATTCTGTTAAAATCTTAAAAATATTGAATATAGCCTTTACATTACGTGAACCTGCATAGACAACTTTGCCATAC